ATAGACAAAACCCAAGATTCAAGAAGATTACAAATTCTTGAGGCAATTCACATAATAGAGCGACCTACCATGAACACCCAAATCACGGAACTATTTACTCTACCCACCATGAGAGTAAGGACAAGACAAGAACATATCGATGCCAACACAGAAGACAATGTCCAACATAACAGGCCAATTACACTGGATTAATCTTTGTGTTTAGATAGATGCCTCGTATGGGCCAATAAGCCTTCTGCAGCCCCTATGTTTATCCCTTATGTATCCCCCCATGTTTTCACCTTCATTGTATTATCACCTGACCTAATGCGGGTATAAAATCAACTAGTATTGTAAGATCTGTTCACTTGAGAATGAACCATGGAGGTTCGAAACGTCGTGCAAATTATACAAATAAGTGTAATACACTCTATAGTAAATCACTTCTTTTCTTCACCTTAAAAGTACGAAAATGAGTTTTGGAGAACTCCTATTTCAATTAAGCCCTGATGCTAAGAAAATAGTTAGAGGGATAGAAGCCCTAAACCAGAAAATAATAAATACAGAATATGCGGTCATATTCAATGAAACATACATACATATATATATATATATATATATATATATATATATATATATATATATATATATATATATATATATATATATATATATATATATATATATATATATATATATATATATATATATATATATATATATATATATATATATATATATATATATATATATATATATATATATATATATATTATCTATCTATCTATCTCACTTTTACACACTAACTGCAAACATGATAAAAAAAAGATCTGCAATGTAGAAGTGCTTATAAATCAAACTCAATGGCACCTCACACACTAGACACACATTCATGCAAATTTTGTTTGTGCTTGTACTCCAAAACATTAATTTTCAAACAATAATACTAAAATCAATGCTTTAAGTCTATAGAGTTTCATGCCAAAAACAAGTATAACCATTTTAAATGTTTCCAATTGAGTGACTTAAAAAGATTGTCAGCTCTGCACTGAATTTACCCAGGTTTTATAATGTAGGTCTCCTCATTGCTCGATTGTTTCGGTTTTTGCAGCCAACCATAAATTTTTGATAATCAGGAGTAAACATATTAAGAACATCCTTATAGAGCACAACATAGAACAATGTATTATCGTTACCCTACTTGGAGGACTATATCAGTTTCTATTGCTGGATATTCAAAACAGGTTCTAAATATCACTAAAGGTGCCAATATTAGAGCAAAACAACAGAAGACAGGCAACGAAAAAGGCATCGGGTTCACAGAGGATCATATCGAGGAACGAGTTTCTCAAAAGGGACAACGGAAAATGTCTTACATAAATTACAGAGGCTTCTGAAAGAAAAAGAAAAATAGCAGTTCTTATAAAGCACTAACAAAAATTGCTTCCTTACTATTGATACTCCTATAGTCACATAAAAACAAAAATTAACTAAAGTGATTTTACCCAACCCTACAGGAGTAAAATGTATTTTCTATACGGTAGTTTTGTTTCAACAAAATTCAATAAAACAGTTGCAGTCATTAGGAGAATCATACAACACGGTTATGTATTTAAATTCTTTTTTTCTTTTTTATTTGTTTTATGACCTTATAATTGACTTAGGTTACAGTAGTAAGCTATGGGACAGGAAAGATGATCATAGCGAATATCCTACACTCAAATTGCCAGGATTCCAATGAGAAACACAATGACCCAAAAATGTAACAAAGTGCTATCCCTAAACCTTATGATACATGAGCGTTAATAGATTACAATGAACAAATAAATGTAATGCATCTAACGACACACACACAAACTCTGGGATTTAATTTGGGTGTCAAGTAATTTAATTAAAAACTTTTTTGTACTTTTTTATGGGCCAATCAAAATCAAAATAACATATAATATTAAATGCAACCATATATTAAAATTAGCCAACAGAAGTGGTAAGAAGCTACACCATTTTACGTAACTAAATCAAATTAAATTATCAAAAATTTAACACAGAATATAACCACTATAGTTCCTTTAATGTCAATTATAAATTATTTAAATGAATTCACAAGCAGACAATTTATTAGCTGAATAACATAGCAAAACACTTGATACCAGTGCATTTTAAGTAATTTTTACATTTACTAGCTTATGAAATTTCCAGTAAATGGTGGCACCATTTGAATATTATCACATACCACAAAGCTGCAATATATACACCTGGCACATCCACAAAAATGGTGCATCCTCTATACACACAAGCCCTTGTCCCCCTCCCCCCTGCCAAAAGCATTTCTTAACTGTAGATTGCATAGCAACCTCATTGCTACCTGACAGATAATTACCAAACAACTATGTACAACTGGGAAGGAAAACATTCGACCACTTCCCACACAAGAGACCACAGCCAAAAATAACAACTATGGCATCAGAAGCATTATGTATCATGAAGAACCACTGCAGATAAAAAGGCAAATCAAATCTATTAGAAAATTTGCCAAATAGACACATAACGCCTACAAACATTAGAAAAATAAACCTAGGAAGTAATCAACCTCTTGGAACATGATGGAAAACATTCCATACCATACAAATGTCACTTGTGATATCTGGTGAAAAATGAGCACCTGTCATCATTACTTCTCAGTACATCATGATGAATTGGGTTAAATACACCAATGCATTAGCCTCCAGGCAACACACTCGCATGCAGGAGATACAGATACGTAGACAAGCCCAAACAGTTTAGAATTGGATCAGGAATTGTGCTCCTAAGAAAGTACTTCAATAAGGCTGATTTTGCTTTAAAAACTAAACAGAAAACTGAGCTTTGCTGAGGTACTAATTAAGGCACAAACCATCTCACAGTCAAATTATCCAAATTTCCAGCAAAGGAACTGCCCCTACAACTGTCAAATGGATCTTAAAATATCTTCAAGATGCAATTGTAACTATTGTAAGGGAACATGAAGGCATTAAAAAGCTGCAAATCATTGATCATGGTGGTCCCAGCTGTAATGAATAAAGTCAATACCTGCTGGCAACATCTAATACAATATTCAACTATATCAACAAAAAGTATGCCACTAAGCCTTCTGAAAATTAAGGGTACTGCTTGTCCAATTTACCTAGTCAACCTTTAGTACAATGATATTGTACAGCATTCCTTACCAGGTTCCTACAGGCGATCTTGAGAAATCTCATTTTGTTGGACTGTTATCTGTTGAGTTGTTGAGCTGCACATTTTGTAGTGAATGGTGGCAACTTTAATTTACTGATGAAAATGTGTATACTGTATTTTATATATATAATATATACATAATCAAAGAAATCTGATGTATAACTTACCCAGTTAATTCATACTTCTTAAATATCTGGTGCAATAATCAATACTGATTATGAGTAAACAATCCACTATTTACAAATATATATATATGTATATATATATGTGTGTGTATATATACTGTATATACATATACATACATACTTCATCTTTTCTTAGTCTAAGTTTTAAACATCTCTCTCTTTAAGTGCAAAGAGAAGAAGAGAGGCAAGTCATGTAGTTACTGATAAGTTTGATAAGAGTGAGCAGAACCTCCTCAAATACACAACAGAATCATTCAACATTTAGCAAAACAGTTGGCATCACTGATTTGGAATTATACTTAAAAAGTACATTTTTCTACTCCTTAAACCACTAAAAAAATAAACATTTACTAAGTTTGTGAAATATTATCTTGAAGTCAAAGCCAATAGACTAAACGAACACTATTAACAAATATTAACCCTTCTCATGCAAACATAAGAAGTTCCTAACATACAGTATCTCACTTTGTGTCGCAACAATGAGCCTTTGCATACATGCATTTTATAGTTTACATACATTCCTTGACACAGGAACCTGAGGTGACTCATCATCCTTAAATACAAACATGTCTTTCAGCTATTAAACCCTAACTAGATGTGCTTGGCGATTGTGGAACAGGAACTGGAGCCGTTTTGGGAATTGTCTTTGGGGTAGCAACGGTCCCCGATGATTTTGTCACTCCTGACGGCACTTTTGATACACTAACTGATTTAACTGTTTCCAACTTTATGTTATGATTTACTTTGTTGATTTTAGATACGTTTGGTTTTGAGGACTCAGTCTTTATTGCGATCTCCAGTTTTTGAGCTTCTGACTTCATCTTTGTGTGGCTGTTGGTTTTACTGTTGTCTATGGTTTCCTGTTGTTTCTGGGCCTCTACTTTACTTTTTGCTTGACTGAAAGTTTTACTGTTTTCTGTGGTCTTCTGCTGAGATTGTGCTTGCTGGGTCTTGGCTGCAGAAGGGTTTGTCTTATATTGCACTGACTTTGGTTTCCTGTAACTACTACTATTGTCTGCTCTTTGCCACTGCATCTGACCACTTGAGTGCCGACTTCTGGACCCACTTCCCTATAAATGGATAGAAAAAGTAATGTACATAAGTGCATGGTGAGTTTAAATAGACAAGATAATAATGGGAACCAAGAACAGGAAAGAAAATGGCTGAAGCATAAAGTGTGTAGTAACTTATCACACAAAGTCCCTGAGTGGTGAATACACTCCCAAATATACATGATATGATATCATACAAACCACATCTATAGGATGTAAAACATTAAACCAATAATTGGTTTAATGGTGTCAGTGATGGGCTGTTTTATACAACAGCATTTGAAAATGTGTATTGTTGGTATCATTTATTATATAGTATATTCTATAAACTCACGTATTAAAAATACAGTACTCACTAAAATGCATACCTATTGATTTATATTCAAAAATTCTAACCCGGAAATATATTTTCTTATAGAAAATGAAACAGCATTCATAAAGGAGCCTGAATCCAGATTCACAAAGAAGTTATGCAAAGTACATCTTTTCTCAATCTTTTGTGGCTCTCTTTACAATTATTAAACAGTTAATGAGCTTCAAAGCACCAGGAGGCTGTTTATAACAATAACAACAGTTGAGTGGGAAGTTTTCATGTTTGTAAACTGTTTAATAAATGTAACCAAAGCCATCAAAGATAGAGGAAAGATGTACACATTCGTAAGTACTTGAGTAACTGCTTCGTGAATCTGGCCCCTGGACAACCTATCCTCCTGTTTAGATAGAACTTTTTGTACCTATGTTCACTATAGTACAAGCATTGACATACTAAGCAATTAGATGGCAGAATTTTGTCCAAAAATCCCCCCCCCCCCAAAATAAAGCTAAAAAACTAAATTATTCCTAGGCCTAGTATAGCACACATATGTACTATATTAGGCCTCAGATGGCATGTATTAGGCCTAGGAAGGCTGGGTTAAGTTTGTCTTTGTTTAGTTGTCTTTGCAACACAAGTAGAAAATCATTTTCCCGGTTTGTCCAAATTCAATAGTGCCACTTCTACTTTCTAATTGCACTGTACTTCGGACTATGTACTATGGTCCTCCTCGTTACTTTAAGTACTATCAGAGAAGGAGGATGGGCTGGCCTGGAAGACTTCTGTTTCAAAGCTGCCATCCAATCATAATGCATTAGCAGGTCCAATACCCTCATATGTCTTCAATATTCTCTCATAAGATATATCATACTCGTGTGATTTCAAGGTGCAAGCATTAGCGGTGTTTTAACCTGATACGGGCGCTCAATGATAACCATATTGCATTCACTGACATTGTGTAAATGTTTCATACATAAAGCCTCCCAAACATCAAATTTAGATGGCAACAGGCTGGTAACACACAACCACATCTAATACCTAGGTTAAGCTGGCACATACCAAGAAGGGTGAGAGCAACTCCGTCTTTGCTAGCCCGCTCCACTTCTGCTGTCAATACCACCAATATACATAAACAAGCAATTAGGAAGACCATAACTTAGTATTAGTACAAGAATGTGAACTTAGTACAAGAATGTAACAACTCTTGTATATATCTATAAAAAAAAAAAAAAAAAAAAAGAAAAGTTAAATGGTGGGTTGATGCACCGATGACTATGTTACAAACAGGAAACCTAAACATACTGTTGCTCTATGTTGCAAGCAGTACACACAACACCCAGAATCTTTCTAGACAAAATTGGTATAAACAAACCATAAAATTAAATTTGAATTTATATACTAAACAGCATGCATTTTTTCATTAATAAGCCTTAAAATTTGACTGTACAGCATAAGTAATGGATTACTACATTACACACAGAGATCACACTAATGTGATGCATCAAATGAACAAATCCACAAGGGCCGTGACGAGGATTCGAACCTGCGTCTGGGAGCATCCCAGACACTGCCTTAATCGACTGAGCTATGACAGGGTTAACAGAGTTGAAACCGAAGTTCTACTGAACTTACTGGATCCCATAGCCTCTCCGAGGCACAAACCAGGGTTTTACACAACTCCCCCTGCACCCGAGCTATGTCAATAGGCCATTCTCCCTCTTCGCCCTTACATCATTACACACAGAGATCACACTAACGTGATGCATCAAATGAACAAATTTGTTCATAGCACCCAATAGCACCCGAGCTATTGACATAGCTCGGATGCAGGGGGGAGTTGTGTAAAACCCTGGTTTGTGCCTCGGAGAGGCTACGGGATCCAGTAAGTTCAGTAGAACTTCGGTTTCAATTCTTTTAACCCTGTCATAGCTCAGTCGATTAAGGCAGTGTCTGAGATGCTCCCGGACGCAGGTTCGAATCCTCGTCACGGCCCTTGTGTATTTGTTCATTTAATGGATTACTATTTGATAAATGTTTCAACCAGCCAAATTTAAATTAACCAAGTAATAATTTGCTAAAGCAAAAGACAATCACTATTTAAAGAAATTTAATATCATCAAGAAAATGCAAATATAATCTTATTTACAACTAACCCTCGTATAGAAATATTCTCCGGAGCTATTCCGTACTCTGGTGTGGTGGTGTGGATAGTAGTCCACCTGGCTTGGGGTTCCATCACCCTCAGAAGCACGGCGCTGACGTCGCTTAGGCCCGGAGCAGTTGTAGCCATACCTCTGATAACCCTCGTGGCCTGCCACCATCATGCCCTCGTTCTCTGATCTGGTGCGAATGCGAGCTTTTCTGGCCTCTCGTGCTGCATCATATTCTTCGGGCTGAGAAAACAGAAGAAGCATGTTTTAATTACATGCTATTAAAATTCTTGAATCATAATAAATTCAATCATTTATGCAAAAATGAGAAATGCTAAAAATGGCTGCCATTTTTGTTTAGTCTGTGCTGTCTCATTCCATTAATACAATTACAGTGTAACCTTGATAGAAAGGACTAATTGGGTCTGAACCCATTCACAACTTGTAAGGTTTCCACTCTATCAAGAATTTTGCTAGATTATAATACTGTACTTATTGTTATTTATGGTTCTTATTGCTAATGATAAATCCCAGATTTGCACATATTTACACACATAAATAACATATATGAACAAGAACTTTAAAATATACTATACCCTACAGGAAGCAAAATGTTACTTCTATTTGCTTATTAAAAAAGCAGCCCCTTTATTTTAAACAAAATTGGGTACAGTAAATTACAACTTCCGACTCTATTCATAGACTTAGTGACCTCCTGTCCCACTGAACTACAGGCCAGTGTCCCTTAACTTGTATACCTTGCAAGGTGATGGAAAATATCGCTCAAAATAAGCTAGTAGTACATCTGGAGAGAAAGAACTTTGTAATACAACACCATCACAGGTTCAGGGAAGGTTATCTGGAGATGATTTCAGGGCTTTTAGTGTCCCCGCGGCCCGGTCCTCGACCAGGCCTCCACCCCCAGGAAGCAGCCAGTGACAGCTGACTAACACCCAGGTACCTATTTTATTGCTAGGTAACAGGGGCATAGGGTGAAAGAAACTCTGCCCATTGTTTCTCGCCGGCACCTGGGATCGAACCCAGGACCACAGGATCACAAGTCCAGCGTGCTGTCCGCTCGGCCGACCAGCTCCAGGAAAGTAACTTGTGCCTCACAGGTTTAATAAAATTCAATGACCAGGTGAGAAAACACCAGCGTTGAATGTAATGAAACGCCATTTTCTGGGTGAAACCAGGCTTCCCGGAGCTATCCAGGCTGATATGAATGTATTAGACCCTGGCATCAAAGTGAATGGAGTTCTAGGTCTACCAGGGACCACGAGTTACAACCTGGACCCCTCAGAAAGGCGCAAGGAGCAATGGCCTATAGAAACCCCCATGTGGTTAGAAGCATTCTATATCTGCCATCGACCTGGACAGGCACCCAGAAAGGTAGGCACCCCAAAACAAACCCTATATGGTTAAAAAAAAACTTGTCTGCCTTGTGGTGTGGTCCTGTCCTAGTGGTGGTGTGCGAGCTAGGAGAAGTTTCACCTGTACTTGGGCTACATGCGCCTAGTTACCTTCCCTAGGTGCCTCCTACCCAGAGAGGCACATTTTTGTTTGCACCTCGGGAAGGTAATTCTAGGTGCATGCAGCCCGAGTACAGGTGAAACTACTACTGGCTCGGACACCACCACTAGGACAGGACCACACCAAAAGGTCATAGCACTGGAACAAATTCAGAGCCAGAGTCCACGATCGCCAGGTCTTATCACATTTAACCATTTAACGGTTACTATGTTGAGGGGTAGTGGCTAGGTGGACAGCGCTCTAGACTTGTGGATTTAGGACCTGGGATTCGATGCCCTAGCACTGCTGGAAAAACAAATGGGCAGTTTCCTTCACCCTGATGCTTCTGTTACCTAGCAGTAAATAGGTATCTGGAAGTTAGATAGCTGCTATGGGCTGCTTCCTGGGGAGGGGGGGGGGAATAATAGTAGTTAGTAACAGTTGATTAAGTTCGAGAGGTGGGCCGAAAGAGCAGAGCTCAACCCCCGAAAACACAACTAGGTGAATACATCAGCCACAGAACTAGGGATGAGGATAGCCAGCACGGGGGTCTTGGGCTCTCCCTTCCCCTTCTCAGGGAGGGGGAAGCTGCGTAGACGACAGTGCAATAAAAGTTATGACATCATGCTCGTTTGCTCGTTTTTCGTTTGGGGAGTTCTGTCCAACAGTTCAGCTTTCTGTAGCAATTTTTTTTTAACCAGATAAGGTTTGTTTTGGGGTGCCTACCTTTCTGGGTGCCTGACCTGGTCGATGGTAGAAATAGAATGCTTCCAACAACACGGGAGTTTCTATAGGCAAATGCTCCTCGTCTCTCTAAGGGGGGCCAGGTTCTGGCTCGTGGTCCCCGGTAGACCTAGAACTTCATTCACTTTGACCGATGCCAGGATCTACATTCATATTAGACAAGATAGCTCTGGGGAACCGAAGGGGCTCCCCCCAGAAAATAGGCAAGAAAGAGAAGGGTGCGCAGACTGCATTTTCCTGGACCTCTGACAGTCTCCCTTAAGAGGCTAGTACAAAAGTTGGGGCATCAGGTAAGGTATGCCAGTGGATAAAAAGAGTATCAAAGCAACAGAAAACAGCAAGTTACTGTGCAAGTTAAAACAGCAAGCAATAAATTGCAAGATGACCTGGATAAACTGAAGGAATGGTCCAACAAATGATTACAACTGTTTAACTTAGCCACCTCACGCCCGAGTCTAATTTCTTTCCATTAGTTTTAGCCCTTTCTTTCATATTAACACATTCCCGTCCACACCACGCTCTCCCTAGACTACCTCAAGGTGTGTTGAGCATTGGCTGTGAGTGCGTGGCCAGACTCAAATATGTATATTCTTTTAAGTTTTCTCAACTCAATTTTCATCTTATGGCGTTAATTTTAGTAACTTTTTGTTCGCAATAGGGATATATATATATGTATATGTATGAAGTCCAAAAGCACGTCGATCGGATAAAAAATGTAATTTTAACAAACATATTAATACTATCACGCGCGCCACGTGAGCACCACAGACTGACGTCATGGGGCTAATGGTGCAAGCGAGCATGCGGCGATGCCTAAATGTGTATACTCGTTTCAGTTTTCTCACCTTAATTCTCGTGCTACGTCGTTCATTTTGGTATCATTGTGTTCGCAATTAAATTCCCTGCAGATGTATATGCATATAATATCCAAAAGCCTGGTGAGAGTCCATGCAGCAAAGCCTAAAATTACCCGTGAACGAGCACCAATTTGCCCACCACAACCTAATGTGTATACTCGTTCAGTTTGATAACATCAATTTTCATGTTACATCGCTCGTTTTGGTATAAAATTGTTGGCAATAAAAAGACGCACATTTTAAAACTAGTCCCATAATAATAGCAAAGTAAATATAATTTTAACAAATATTTTAAAATTTCAAATTTAGACCCAAATTTTGTTTATAATCTTTCAAGTGTTTTGACATCAAGTTTCGTGTTACATCTTTCATTTTGGTATCAAATTGTGCGCATTCTAAAGGCGCTTATTTTGAAACTATCCTGAGGTCGATCGGATAAAGAAATGCATTTTATACAAATATTTTTGTAGTGGACGCGAGTCCTGTCCACGGCTAGAACTCAAGAGAAAAAAAAAATGGATGTGATCGGTGTCCAAAGCGAGCGATACTGTTAAAATCTGATGTAACAGACGTCCCTCCCGAACATCCGCAGAATTAATTATGGATGTCGTATACGTCCCTTCCGAACAACAGTGTTAAGATGTCGTGGATGTAAATCATGATGAAATGTACCAAGTAGAAGAGGCAAGCAACAAATATTTTTCCAAAGCACCGTAGAAATTTAAAATGTTTGTACACTTTCATTGTCAAATGTTGCTGTATTCAAATATGAAAACCAAAGGGTCTTATTGTGAAGAAATATGTTGCTAGGTGCTAGGTAATTATCCAAAAAATGCACCAAGCAAAAAAAAAAAAAAAAAGACATTTTAGTACCTTTTATGTGGGGTTTTCAAAAGGTACAAAATAATTTGGGAAGAGGTGACTACTAATTAGTGATTGGGTGGCATTGGTGGTAGAGGTCTAAGGTCTAGACCCTGTGTAAAACTTTTCATGAGCTTTCCATGCTACTGTTAGTTGCATCACGAATTTAATAACAAGAATTACTTGATAAGAATTAAACACTTTATAGCTGGTAAGGTCGGTTCAGCAAACATATAATGCATTTATTTATAAACCATGCATCAGAATATATAAGCAAAAAATGTTGCAACTTTTGATATCATTACCACAGACCTAGTTGCAGATAAATCTTTTATTCATCTCTAAACCCCAAAAATGATACTGTAATAACTACCACTGTTATGCAAAAAGAAGTTTGTGCAAGAAATGTGAGCGTACCGGTGTTGGGTGGCGATGCTGCAAGTACTCAGCATAATGAATTTACGTATCCTATCACAAGACATAATTCACTTAATTGTATCAAACTAACATGTAAATACTATCTAAATATGCTATTGTACAAAAGTTAAATGAAAAAACACCTACCATTTCTACTCTAAAATCCTCAATGCTTTTATACTTTGCAAGACGCTCTTTGAGTTTATCTTGCACTGCAAGATTGACACTATTTTTATAATACTTCCTAAATGCCCAGAATTTCTCGAGTCCATACAGCTGACCACAGTCAATATCTCGTAAAGTCTCTTCTTGGAAGTCATTGTAAATTTCATCTCGGAAATGTTTCTCCAGTCCATAACTATAGAACCTGAAGAGACACTCCAAGCCATATCTGTGGGGGGAAAAAATGATGATATTATACAAAATATACCTGGTACTTATCAATGTGTGTATTGCTTTCAAAACAATAACAATAAATAAATAAAGTGAACTTCCATAAAATTGTAATTTGAAGGAAAATCAAGCTAGCTTCAAGAGCAACCATGAACATAATAATTAAATTCTATATGCTAGCAAAGTGAGATATAGCTAGAAAAAGAAATACCGTATTCAATTTGCCATTAAATATGAAGACAAGAATATTATCACCCGGATAATCCAACACACAACTTGAAGGTCCAGAACGGACGGAAACCATCACTTTCATGTCATATATTTATTTTCAGCAGCATTATTGTGACTTATTCACAGCTCATAACATGCACCTCACTCATCACTAGGCTTAGAAAGCCCACTTGCACCTCACCACATGTATCCTAACATGCAACATCATCAATAGACAGACATTACATCATCACTATAAAAACTTTAGTGAACATCAACAATCCAGAAACTCAATAATGATTGATTATAATCATTATTTAATTCACATTTATAAATGGATCTGGTAGATAAACCAAATTGAAGTAACTATAAGCTAACCTGTATCCAACTTTGGCATCTTCATTGGCTAATCTTCTGAATTCTTCGTACATTTTGCGGTTGAAGTGTTCTCGGAGGAAGAAGGACCAGAAGCGATACAAAGTGTTCATCTCGGCACTCTGTCCAATGCCTAGTCTTTTGCGTTCTACAATTGATAAACAAAACTACTTTCAATATTATGAATGGAAAAACAAATTGAAAGTAAATGCCATTTGTTGAAGAAATAAAAACTCATATTAAGTAACTGGTTAAATTTGTAATTTATCAACCCCACTGCACATTATTTTATATTTCTTTCTTTAACAGTATTTATAACACACACACTCACTACTCACCCAGTTGTGCTTGCAGGTTGAGCTCCAGCTCTTTGCTCCTGCCTCTCAACTGTCAATCATCTGGTGTTCAGATTCCTGACCTTATTGGGTTCTATCTTATCTACATTTGTTTGAAACTGTGTATGGAGTCAGCCTCCACCACATCCCTGCCTAGTGCATTCCATTTGTTAACTACCCTGCTGCTTGATACCTACTTGATGGAGTTCTGGGAGTTCTTCTACTCCCCAAGCCCGGCCCAAGGCCAGGCTTGACTTGTGAGAGTTTGGTCCACTAGGCCAACACTGAAAACACACATTCTAATATCTCTGTGGCTCATCTGAATATTATGTTTCCACCCTATCCATGTTCTGTCTCTGCTAAATAGTTTGTTTTTGTCCACCTTGTTATATGCTATTCTGATAGCTTAGTGTCATAGACATGATTTCAGTTGACACTTGTGTTTGATGTTAATTTTCTACCATTTTGGAAAATTTAACACATAATTCAATTTTTTTCTCCCTTCCTATTTATGCTACGATGCTGAAACTTGGACCAGTTGATCCAAATTTCATATACAACTAGTCAAAAAAGTTTGATTGAAATCGAACCAGTTTTCATTTATTGCATTTTTACGTAATGTGCCCCCTTAAATTACTAAGAGCATGAAAACCTTGCCTTTTAAACATCTAGCTCGATATTTGTGGTAGACTTGTTGAGTGAAGCCATTTTCCTTGAGAAGAGAATGTGACGGGTGTTGGAAGGTCGGTAAAGAGCCTGGTAAAGACCCAAAGGATCCATAACTGCTGCCAAAACTATTTGAAAGCTGATTCTCATTTGGGCTCGCATTTAAGTCACTGTAAATAAGAAATATAACTATTAATATTAAAAAGTTAAAATTAATGGTACTAGCAACAAAATACTGTATACTGTATTGTGTTGCTTGCTTTTACAATATATATGATGCCGATAAAAAACTTGCATTGAGTGTAATGAAATGCCAGTTCTGGGTGAGCCCGGGAGGCTCCCTCAAGACTTACTGATTACGTGCCACACTACTTGGAATCATCAGTTGCAGAGTTCTTTTATGCCTACCGGGGACCGCAACCCAGAACCTGGCTCCCTCTCACAGAGGAGCAGGGAGCAATGGTTCATGAATGCTTTACATTTAAAGTTTATCATCTTGCCATCGACCAGGAAAGGCACCCAGAAAGGTAGGGGAATAAAAACAGACTACTGCCTGGTTGAAAATGTGACCTATGCCCCTCAAAATATCAAAAGAACACCCCCAACAAGAAAAAAGAAAAAAGCAAATCTTCATCCAAATAAACCCCCCCACCCTGGTAGGTGGGAGGGAGGGAGGGCATCAGGGAGCCTCCGGGGCTCCTTACCTTGAGGTTAGCTTGAGATGGTTTTAGGGCTTAGCATCTCCGTGGCCCGGTCCTTGACCAGGCCTCCTCATTGCTGCACTGGTCAACCAGGCTGTTAGATGCAGCTGCTTGCAGCCTGACACGAGTCATAGCCTGGTTGATTGGGTATCCTTTGTAGGCGTTTATTGAGTTTTCTCTTGAATATTGTGAGGGGTCAGCCAGATTCAACACTGATTTTCTGTGTGGAGCCCTGTTGGCTCTCTGAAACTAGCTACCCATAGTGAAGGAAAAATGAACTTAACAGGGAAGTGGTTGTACCGCAGCACCCAGCTCTTCTCAATCCGAGGAAGAGACTGTCGGATGCGACAGATGCCACAAAACAACAAGGCCACAGAAGGCCCAGAGATGTCCACCTTATACCTGGTGGCCAGGACCCTGTTAGAGCTCCAAAACCCCAGTGAGTCCGAATATCATCCCAAGACATGTTCCCACACTACCAGGAGAGCATGTGGGAACTTATGTACATCATGGGCACGAGGGTAGACCGTAAGTTGGCTAGACTTAATGACACTGCAGACAACCTGAGGCACACGAGCCTTGAACAGGGAACTAGGGAAACCGGATCACAATGCATCCATCGACACAAAACCCACAAGTAATACGCCCACAAGTAATGGCGCAGAGCCGCTACTGGGCCTAACACATGATGCAACACCCCGGCTGAACCAACCAAACATCAACAACTAAAGGACTCTTCCGGAAGCCAGCCGTCACATTCTTCACCAGAAAGGAAGGAGCAGACTGCAACCGAACAAAACGACCCCCAGGACCAAGAGAAGAAAACCTCCAGAGCCGGAGTAGAGCATGAAGCTCCCCAACCCAACCAACCAGTGGCCAATGCTAACAAAAATAAGGCCTGCCAAAAACAATCTTGAACCAAAAGGGCCACCACAAACCGAGGTGAAGATAAGAAAGAACCCGGTCCAAAGACGAAGCAGGCACAGGAGACACACGAGTTGGCGGGAGGTGAAAAAATGCATGAAAAAGCTTGCGGAACGAGGCGGAAGTAACATCCAACCCAAACACAAGCTGAAGTGGCTCTGTCAGCGCCACACAATAGAAGTGACAGTATTCAGCAGAAGATGCTGATTTAGAAAAAGCCAAGAGAGAAAGGACAATACAACCATATCTGACACAGACAAAATCCTATGAAGAGAAAGGAGGAAAGCCAGCCAAGAAACCTCATACCGATGCTAAGACGACTACAGGTAGGACACCATCAAATTAGCTACCTGATCACCATACAAATGGTGATACACACTTGTCAGAAACACCAGATGCGAATTACGGAGAAGGTTGAACCTGCAAGGTACCTCACCTGTCCAACCCACTGATTAAGGCGAAGCTGGGGAAACTGCCTGGGTTCGGGCACCGAGCAGGCAGCACCTGAAACCAAGGGTGGGCCGGCCACAATAGGGCCAGGAGAACCACTCCCTCAGTATGATTCGAGCCGACCCAGAACCCGAAGCAACAGCTGGACTGAGGAGAAAAAGGTACAGGTACCCCTTCCCTCCTTGACCAGTCCTGCAGAAAAGTGACTACTGCCAGTGTCTCGCAGTCGAGGCACGACACCACGTAACGAGGAAGACCCTGTGACCAAGCCAACGCGAAGAGGTCCACCTCTGGGTGCCCATACGTCCGGTAGAGGCATAGGAAGGAAGCGGCATCAACTGTTCACTGTGCAAGAGAAATGTTGCGATACAGACCATTCTCTAGTCATGCATCAGTCAAGAACTGACTGGAGGCAGTCCAGCTCACCCAGGCTGGCTCCCCTCCACCCTCCCCAACAGAGGGGGAGGGGGGGGGGGGCTGGAGCTAACAAGTGGGGGTGGTTAGTTGGATAAAGTTTTGCTTGTTTGTTTCCTTGTTGGGAGAACTGCAACTGATGACTCCAAGTAGTGTGGCACTTAAGCAAACTATATTCAAGATACATTAGCAGTTAAATGCAGTACCAAAACATGGGATCTCTTACCTTATTGAGTTTGTGCGGGGCTTGTGTTCTATGGAATCCATAACCCACCCAACATGACTCTCCACAGGTGGATTGTGAGAGTGGCGAGTCTTCTTTTTGCGTGGAGTTCGCTGATCAACATTTGCTTTATCTTTAACAACTGCGTAGAAACGTGCAGCTTTTCGTGATCTTGGCGTTTTTGGTGTAGGTGAAACCTTGTCTTCAAAAGGATCCTCTGCACCCTGGCAACAAAATAAACAGAATATTAGGTCTTTTCAAATTTGTCTAAGAGCATATAAAACTTGTGCTTTGTGCTAATTAAAATATTAAAACTTCCACTAATTCATTAGTTTCATAAAATTATTCTACATATCTATTGCATAAAAAAATAAGACATTACATGTATTAATGAATACTGCAACTAAGAAGTGACAATATATTTAATATTTACTAACAGAAAATAAAAAACAGAAAACTCCCCATAAACACAGCAACTGGATATGAAATGAACACTACTTGAACAAGGGTCTTGGCATCTATTGTTTACAGTATATCTTGGAACACTCGAGGCATACATACATACACACACTGACATGGTCAACCTTGGTCATTACATTAGCCATTAGTAATTAGTGACATTAGCAATGTCTCATTAAGAACAATATGACTAGCATCTACTGGTAAAGGTTATTGAAGGGGTTAAGCATGTGGAATGTTGGCAAGAGTGTTCTTGACTGCCATAGTAGTACAGATGGAAAGTTAAGAGCAGCATGTTAGCATACCTGGAGGAGGTGTAGGGGAGGGGGAGGGGGAGGGACCTCTTGGTTAACTGGGACAGGAGGGTGGTTGGGTTGCAGGGTCTCCATCACCTCTTGACTGATCATTGTAACCTGCTGCGTCACGGCCGTTTGCTTTCTCTCTGTTGACTGCGGGAACTGTAGAGAAAATAATTCCCTTGAATGTAAATTTCACATTTTGTTTGTAACATTATGAACAAGATAATAATGATGGCAATTACTGAAAAACTAGAAGAGTAACTAATACTTCATATAGTATGAAAAGTATTGTACTGTACAGTACAGTATATGGAATAAGAATAATGGAAAATTTGATGGAAAGAGTCCAGGTATAGAAGTACCAAATAAATTAAAATTTACAAAGATGAAAGCAGAAAAAAACATTTTCCATCAATTACCTTGCTAGCAAGCACAAAGTGAAATCATATAATCGGATATTAAAAACACACCTACTTTTATCTTATATTTGTTAAGTCTTAATAGATCGAAGACTCGCTAATGAATTTTTTTTATATCAAGGTTGGAATGTAACATAAATCAATAAATAAACTTATTGCCACAAAATAAACATTTCAATACAAAATAATTATAACTCACCCATTCGCTGTCCTCCCACAGATCCTGCTCATAATAGTAGAGTCCATCATTAATAACCTTGGCCAATTCTTGTGTCATTTTAGTACGGGAAGTCCAGTCCCCAGTGCGATCAAATCCGCCATGCTTAGGAGGCCGGGTGGCAGTACTGGATGATGAAGAACTAGTCGATGTTCCTGGAGCTGCAGCAGTAGCAGATGGTGGAGACTGTGTCACAATCAGAAGCTTATTTACATCCTGATCACTAATTTCGTAGTCACTTTCATCATCCGACCTGTGGAATAAAAGGCTCTTAGATCCAGTCATCACAAGACAACCTTGGCCCAGGATGGACTTGGGGAGTAAAACTCTCGAGACTTACTTCATGTAAACTATGGGTAAATGTGTACAATTACAGTGCTGCAATGAGTAGAAGGGTATAATGAGTTTAGGGAGTATAATGAGTACCTTACTTTCATCATACCTTGATGGGGTTCTGGGAGTTCTTCTACTCTGCAAGCCCAGCCCAGGGCCAGGCTTGACTTGTGAGAGCTTGGTCCAACAGGTTGTTGCTTGGAGTGGCCCGCAGGCCCACATACCCACCACAGCCCAGTTGGTCTGGCACTTCTTGAAGAAAACTATCCAGTTTTCTCTGAGAGATGTCCACTTTTATTCGAGCAATATTTCTTATGCTCACTGGGAGGATATTGAACAATCGTAGACTTTTGATGTTCATACTGTGTTCTCTGAATTCTGCATTTCCTTTCATATTGTTCACTCCAGTATGTTGTTATCTTACATTTTGGGACCTGGCCCTCCATTATTTTCCATGTATTGTATATATAATTCGATACCTCTCTCATCTCCTTTCTAAAGAGAACATTTGAAGAACCTTGAAACGATCTAAATACTTTAGGTGCTTTATCATGTCTGATAGGTAAGTACACTATAAGCGTAGCACTCATCCTGTAACTACATTTAATTATACACACACATGCTACAGCATTAATAAAGTATGAGACCCAACTTAGACACACGGTTTCAAATAAGAAACATCACTTAACTTGGAATCCACTTCTTGGCCAGCCACAATGACTAACCTGAGAGACCCTGTCAGAAGATTATCAAGCTGGGAGGCCTAAGGAACCTTGTTGTGGTGCTGTACTTGGTAGCAGTTGGGGGAAGTAGCTAATTGGGCTAGTAGCTAGCAGTCAGCAGAGTGCTACTCTGGAGTTCAATTTATTTAAAGTAACACTTGAAGGGGATTTTGAGTATCTTCTCCTGTTACAAGCAGGATTCAAGAGAAGCAGGTTGTGTTTGAGCAGAAGTACATAGTACAGACAACTATTCAGGCAAGTGCCTCAACACTTAGTAGATTGAATAATGTTATATTCTTTAATCAAGTGCTTCTTAAACTAGTGAATGGTTCATCTAAATGTGAATAAAAGTAAGAGGTAATTCGTTTTCCTTGTACAGGGAAATTTAGTTGCCTGCGACTGAAATTTTGTGATATAAACGTGAGGGGTGAAAGACACAGAAATGAAATAGTTTAAAAAGCACTTCATATTCTTGAATATGGCACATACAGAATTTGGCACATACCATTCACTAAAATCATGCTGTCGCCCAGTCTTTGGCAGAACCTCAAGCTCTTCGTCAAACTGAAAATCAAGCTCCTCTCTTGTGTCTTTGCAGAAGCCAAGTGGTTCCTGAGACATTCCTCGACTTTTCTTAACATTTGACTTGTCCAACACAGTGTCAGCTGGCTGCTTCAGGTCTTTTTCCTTGCTCTCATTATCTCTTCTTAGACGTCCCTTACGTTTCACCTAAGGTAAAATCTCTTCCAATTAACTGCATGATTTTTTCATACTGTAATTTGTAAATCTTTATCTAGATTATAATTTGTTGAAAATTATTTTGTATATTTACAATTAGGTACAGTACCGTAACACAGACGAAATTAATGTGAGAGAGACAAGTGTCAGAACAAAATCAACCTCTGGCCTAAGGGCTAACAGTAACAGACTTAAATTATCAGATGGAGAAAATTAGTCAATATCTGTTGTAAAGAATGTGGCACTGTATACCTCTCTGCAATGATGATTGCTTTATAAACTACCACTCACTGAACACACACACACAAAAAAAAAAGCATTGAATGTAATGAAACGCCATTTTCTGTGCGAAACCCAGAGGCTTCCCAGAGCTATCCAGGCTGATATGGATATATTAGACTTTGGCATCAGTCAATGTGCATGGAGTTCTAGGCCTACCAGGGACCACGAGCCAGAACCTGGCCCCCCCCAGAGAAGCATGATGAGCAATGGCCTATAGAAACCCCCCGTGTGGTTGGAAGCATTCTATGTCTGCTATCGACCTGGTCAAGCACCCAGATAGGTAAGCACCCCAAGACAAACCCCCTATTCTGGTTAACATTGCTACTGGAAGCCGAACGAGTGGACAGAACTCCCCAAATGAAAACTAGCAAAAGAGCATGACGTCACCAAGTTGCCGCGCTGCTGTCTGTGCAACACTCCCCCCTCCCCAGAAGGGGGAAGGGGAAGCCCCAGACCCCCGTGCCAGCTACCCACACCCCAGTTCTCAGGCTGGATGTCAAAACACATGAAAAACTGCCGACCGGGTGGAGGGAGGAGGGTTGCCGGGGAGCTTCCGGGTCTCACCCAGAAAATGGCGTTTCATTACATTCAACGCTGGGTTTTTTGGGGGAGCCCCTGCAGCTCTCCAGAGCTACTTATCCAAAGACAAAACAAAACAAAAGTAACTTACCCAGGAGGCGGTCGGCTCTCACTTCTCAACTCAAAATCAAGACAACTGGTTGCAACCAACAACCCAATGCGACGCAGGCCCAACTGGGCCCCAGGAACATTAACAAGGTAGCAAGTGGCCAGGACCCTGTTCTTCCTCCAAAAACCCTGTGCCCGAATGTCAGCCCCAAGACATGTTACTGAAGACAGCAGCCAACGCAGCAATCCGACAAACATCGTGGGCACGAGAATAAACCACAGGCTGGCTGGAATGAATAACCTCGCGGACAACCAGAAAGACCCAAGCCCTGGGAACAGGGAAGACGGGAAACCGGATCAACCAAAGCGCAACCTCGGCCACCGAAGCCATGGCGCGCAAATAACCGAGGAGATATCAATATGAGATCTTGAGGTTATCTTGAGATGATTTCAGAGCTTAGCATCCCTGCGGCCTGGTCCTCGACCATACCTCCTTTTTGTTACACATTCCCAGGAAGCAGCCCGTAGCAGCTGTCTCAACTCCCAGGTACCTATTTACTGCTAGGTGAACATGAGCATCAGGGTGAAAGAAATTTGTTTCTTTCCTTTGTTTCCGCCTCCACCGAGGATCGAACCCGTAACCTTAGGACTACGAATCCGAGGCGCTGTCTACTCAGTTGTCACACCCCGGCAGCGTCTGGGATTATCCCAGGCATAAGTTCGAACCCTCATCACAGCCCTTGTGGATTTGTTCATTTGATGCATCACGCTATTGTGATTTCTGTAGGTACAGCTGTAGTTTGTTTTGGGATTCCTACCTTTCTGGGTGCCAGACCTGGTAGATGACAGACATAGACTGCTTCCAACCACACGGGGTGTGTCTATAGGGCCACTGCTTCTCGTGCCTCTCTGAAAGGGGCCCAGGTTGTGGCTTGTGGTCCCCGGTAGGCCTATTACTCCATTGACTGACTGTTGCCACAGTCTAAGATATATACACATCAGCCCGGTATAGCTCTGGGGAGCCGAAGGGGCGACCCACAAAAAACAGTGAATGTACTCCATCTCATAACTAATATACATGTAGTTACTTTTATATTGTACTATATTTCTTCTGGGTTATTTAATTTTGAAACCTTACAATGAGTATATCAATAATAAATGATACTGTAATTTTTATGTTTTTTATTTGTCGCTATACATAAATATTTAACATACAAGAGATTAAAAATATGATGGGTATGGATTACAATTACAAAAAAAGAACAAAGGTACATACATTACAAATGTTAATACACAATGAACATAAGCACATACAATGCAAATGCTTATGTACAATAAACACACATGCATACCATCCAAAAGCTAATGTACAGTGAACATACAGTGGTACCTTTGTTTACGATCCTAATCCATTCCCAGAGATGCGCCGTACACCAAAAATTTGTAAACCAAAACTAAATTTTCCATAAGAAATAATGTAAATTAAATATTTTTGTGGGTGTGGAACGGATTAACTTAAAAATACATTTTATACCGAATACCACTCATTTTGTACTACAATACAGTATGTATATCTTACCTTTACTGAGGACTCTTGTTGGCGTATGGGAGGAGTGGAGGAGGAAAGGTGTTAGTATTTGGAAGGTGAGGCCCCTTCCATTATAACTTCAGGCAGTGATGACTTTTCTGGGGAACTCTCTCTCCTATGTTTTACAGGCATACCACTAGGACCTGGTTGTGGCTCATTGCTTGTTTTTCACTAAAAACCTGTCTATTGACACTTGTTTTCCTTACGTGTTAACACTTGTTTGCAGTGAGACATCACATTGTCATTAAATGGTTAATGCAATGGCCTGTTATAGCTTTATCTAGGTGACACTTTTCAGTAAAAACTTTGCAGATCTTTCCATACTGCACACATTTTCTTAATTAATGAGGAAGGGACATCAACAACCCACATACCATTTTTATGTTTACGAATGATCTATTGTTTTTCCTCTACTGTTATTCTCACAACTATTTTCTTAGGCTGAACCTTACCACTGACTTTCTTGGGACCTATGGCATGATATTTAATATCATATTTAATATCAATAATATTTAATAATGAGTAGAGGCAGTAGAGGATGTCCCTTCCTTGTTCAAAAAATGTGTGAAGTATGGGAAGAACTGCAAAGTTTTGTTGAAAAAACTCGTCCGGATAAAGTTGTAACAGGCCGTTGCATTGACCTTTTTAATGACAATGTGATGTCTCACTACAGACAAGTGTCAAAATGTAGGAAAAATAAGTGTCTTTAGACAGAATGTTAGGAAGACAAGCAAGCAGTGAGCCACAACCAGATCCTAGTGGTATGCCTGCAAAACATAGGAGAGAGAGTAGACCAGAAAAGTCATCACTGCCTGATGCTATAATGGAAGGGGACTCTCCTTCCAAACACTAATACCTTTCCTCCTCCCCTCTCCTCACTGTCTTCTAATGCCAACAAGAGTCATCAATAAAGGTAAGCTATAACTTGTACATACTATAGTATAAAATGTGTATGTGTATTATGTATGAAATGTATTTTGAAGTTAATATTTTTGGGAATGTGGAACAGTTTAAATTAAATTTACATTATTTCTTATGGAAAAATTTGTTTAGAGTTAAAAAATTTTGAGTTATGACCCGTCTCTGGGAACAGACTAAATTCGTAAATGAAGATACCACACTATGAACATTGTGAGTGAAGAGTTTAATATTAGGGTGTATGCTGACGGGCAACGCCAGGCCAACCTTGTGGTGCGATGTGGGTGGCCTGCCGGGTCAGGCAAAGCGTTAATAAAAATTACTTCCAGCAAACTGATGAAATTTTGAATTTAGTTAATTGAAAGAATGTTTAATTTCTTATGTTATGGAAAAAGCTCAACCAAGAAAAAGCTTATTAATTTCCAAGTGTGTCTGACATAAGGCCTGCATACAGCAATTAGGTGTAAAATTATGAGTGGTGCAAAACTCACTGTATGGGTACATGCAACTGCTAAAGGTGTAACATTCATTCAGTGAATATGTCTAAGACCTGGAAGCAAGTACTGTACTAAGGTTCAGTGCAATGTTGCAATATGTGGAAGACCTGGAGGCAAGTGCAAAGATTTAATACATTTAATTGTATTTTAATAGAGTTTAGAATAGTACCTAGCATCAATTACTTAAGTGTTTCCATCACCTAAAGAAATTTAATTTGTTCCAAATTGATGAATACAATTTTTTTTAATTTTAAATGAATATAGTACATCATATGCATCCCAAAATGAAGGCACATCAAAACTAATGCAATTTATTAAGAATATTGGTGAGATAAATAACATAAATTCTCATCCTTAACAAGTGTAACTGGATCTCAAGACTATGACCACAAGCTACAAAACTCAAAATTTATACATCACATAAAGTGATGTATAAAGTTACAAAGTTACTCCAAAGTGTGCTAAAAAAGGCAAGTCTGAGGAGATTCTCTTCAGCTTTTCTTGACATTCAAGAGGTAGCAAAATATAAATATGACACAAAACTGATACTGCACCTTACAAAATCAATATGACAAAGTCTAAGGAACCCACCAAGGGGGCAATGAAGTAATTGCAACAGGAGCTTTCACATCAGGAATATTCACAAGTGATATAACTTAAAAGTTATTCACAAGATTTTAAGAAAACGGCTGACAAACTGCCAGAAGAATAAAAATGGAAAACCCATAAGGAATCACCATAATGAAGATATCTAATAAAATATCTTGAAATGTTTTATTTGAGGATAGAGCATTAAATTACTTTGTTATTGCACATTCTTGCTTCATGCAAGACTTAATTCGTGATCTTTAACATCACTGATTTCAATGGATAATGACAAAAAAAGCTCACCTCCTTCCAGTCATCATCCTTTTCACTGGAACTGGCTTCATCCTCTTGTCCTGCAATAAAATGTATTTGCATTAGCACGCAATAGGTAAAAGTACAAATAAAACTCAATATCATCCTCACTCAACACACGCACATTAACCCTCATCACGGCCCTTGTGGATTTCTTCATCCTCGCTCATGTCCATCTATTCAAAAGGGAATAGTATAAGGAAAATGGATATAGAAAAAGAAAAATGCCTTATTCATTTATTATCTCATCCACATTATATAACATAATGGATAAATAAGCTTTGATACTATCCACCATAAAATGCTGGAATATAAGATGAAAAAGGCAAGCTGGGATAAATGTGAAGACATCAGTAACAGAGGGTTGAAGTGAGACGAAGGGTGAGGATTGATGCAAGTGGCAAGCAGGCTCATGTAAGACTTGCTATGTCAACTACTACGGCTCCTATTAGTTCCTATAGTACCGTAGTGCGTATCCTCGGCTCACAATTGAGGATCCCGGGTTTGATCCCCAACTGGGAAAGAAATTATTTCTGACAGGCATGTTTCCTGTCTCCTGATGGAAATACTGGTATACATTAAGACTGGTAACAAATGAAATGGACCTGAAAGTAGTGATGGTGGTGGAAGCAACAAACATTCACAGCTTCAAGAGAAAATATGAGTGCTAAAACATGAGGAGGTATAAACAAACAAGGTACAGTATATTACCAATGAAGCAGGACTGGATCTCTCTGTCCCTGCGGATGCAACAACTAAGGAAGCACCACAGACAATAGTGACAGACAGACAGTATGGTTTTCTATCATGAAGATCCTGTGTAACAAATTTACTTAGTTTCTATGATAGAGCCACACAGTTTTACAGGAAAGACATAGTTGGGTTGACTGCATTTATCTAGACCTAAAAAAATGCTTTTGATGGAGTCCCCCCCCCAAAAAAATGATTGTTCTGGAAATTTTAACATGTTGGAGAAGTGACAGGGAGACTTCTGACATCAAAGAAAAATTTCCAGACACAAAAATGAGAGCAGTACTCCAAGGAAATATATCAGACTGGAGAAGTGTTACCTGTGGAAACATCAGCAAAACTGATGATTGTACTGGCATCAGCAAATACAAGCACAATATACAAGGGAGTCCCAACATCAGCAAGTACAAGCACAATATACAAGGGAGTCCTGACATCAGCAAGTACAAGCACAATATACAAGGGAGTCCTGACATCAGCACACATGTTCTCATAATGAGAACTACAAAAGGCAATGTAGAAAGACTGCATGACAAAAAGATTGAGATATAAGATATATTGGAAAAGGGTCACATGAAAGTGAAGAAAGTGGAAAAGACCACCAAATATCACTGCACCGAGTAGCCTGGGAACACAAAAGGCAGGCTGGCACCGTTTTATTGTTTACCCCCATGACAGTAAGTACATGAAGTTCAAATGCTTATTTCTTATTTCCCATATTTGTGTTGATGCTAACATTTGCTTAACCCTTATACTGCTCCAATTGCTATCTGCAATTTCCTCCTGTTCTTCAATCAAGAAAGGCAATTTTCCCTATTTGATTTGTTAACTATTTTTAGTCATGTGCACCTCCATAAAGGATTTTTCAATAGCTGCTCCATTTAAAGGTTAAAGAAGAAAACAAGAAAAACTAAATTATTTTAAAATTCCAATAAATACATTGATACATTTGGTAAAAATTTCAAATATACATCAACCTGGATTTTTTTGCCTACCTTCTTTGGCAGTGGCATCAGTGACTGATGGAATGAATTCTGGTTGAGCAGGGTCAAGTTCAGCGTGATGTGGGGTGAACTCTGCCACCTCTGGGTTCATGACAGTTGGCGGTGATGGAGCAGATGGGGTATCACTGTTAACAATAGTGTCTATGATTGGGATGGGTGTGGCTGGGGTAGCACCGGCAGGTGTCATGCTTGGAGAAACTTTGGTTAACAGAGCTTGGAGAGCTCCAGCAGCGGCATCCTCCAGCGGCCATTTTGTGGGGTTGTGTTTCGTCCGCAACTGTTGTAAATAAGAGTACCGTACTGTATATCCAAATTCAAAAAAATATTACTCATATTTGTACATATATAACCCAGTTAGTTTACACAGAATTACAGTAGTGTACATTACTTACCTAAGAGTTATAATAACAGCATAACATGCAATCATTACAAACTCTTTAACCTATACATATTTAGATTTAGAAGCTACATTTATCAGTGATTTAAAAAATCATTACAGTTGTAGCTGGAGTGAACAGATATTACAAAGAAAACTTATAGATTACCACTATGCATGATGAAAACAAAGATAAAAGAATAATACAAATAAATGACTGAATAAGAAATATTAGAAAAGAGGCAGCAGACAGTGATGCAAACATAATACTTTGCCACCTGCCATTGTTCTCTATTTAGGAAATATACAGCACACAGCCACTTTCTCCTATATTTCTGTACTTCCTTCTACATAAATCTTGAAACTAGTAGATTATAAAAACTGAAAATTCAGTAAATAAAAAATAAAACAAAAAGAAACTGAAGCTAATTCATGGATAAAAATTATATAAAGTCTTACCCAGACTTCATCTTTAACTTCCAGATTCTCTGAAGTTTTGCAAACATCAACGATTAACTTGACATCTTGTGTGAGCTGCTTCATACGATTGAATGAGGCAATGAGAGACACTGGAATATAGCCGTCCTTAGACATCTTCCTCCTCATAAAGATGTCATTAGCCAAGTTATCATCACTAAAATAGTACTCCCTGGGAAAGAAAAAATTTAAATATAAATAATTTGATTGATTAAACAATTATTTATCTGGTGCTGAAACGAGATCATTGCTTTGGGTTACATCTACAATCAGATTGTAGAGATCAAGAATTCCTATATTTGTCAAGAACTCTTTAGTATTCAACAAGAACAGAGACAGAATTGGCGTGGGGTGGAGGGTGTTTGTAGCTCCGGGAAAGACATCGTCTCAAGGTCACGTGGAACGACTGGTATAGTAAGTACGGCTCTCTCGTAACTAGCACCTTGTCATTCCATTATCTTTGCCTCTGGTAGGGAACATAATTAGGAAGTGTCTTAAATTAATGTGCTAAATAAGGTCTACTTACGAACCTGTACATCTTTTCTCAATCTTTGGCAGCTTTGTTTATAATTATTAAGCAGTTAATGAGCACTGAAGTACCAGGAGGCTGTTTATAACAATAACAACAGTTGATTGGGAAGTTTTCATGCGTGTAAACTGTTTAATAAATGTAACCAAAGCCATCAAAGATTGAGGAAAGATGTACACGTTCATAAGTACTTGCGTAACTGCTTCGCGAATCTGGCCCCTTGTGGCTACCTTGTGGTAAGTACTGTAGTTTTAAATATTATGCAGTGTCTTAAAACATCCTAGAATGTGTTGTGCACTTTAACCACTGTGCTGCGCAGTCTTAAAACATTCTTGATTGTGTTGTGCACTTTAACCACTGTGATGTGCGGTCTTAAAATATGACATTCCAGTGGTGCACCGAAAATAAATTTAGAAAAAATAATTTTCTCTTCTTATTTTAGTAAAATGCAGTCTCTTATCACGGGAAACTAAAATAAAATATTGTATATGACATACTTTAGCCGTGATGGAGCTGGGAAGTTGAGCAAATTATGAGTGATGAAGCGCTCGGGCCCACTCGACTGCCCCCCCTCCCCCCAGTGGGGTGGCAGTTGCCGTGAATATAAAATTTCACAATTATTTTGATGTTTCTCATTTGCTTCTTCTCTGGCTTTTTGCTGTAATATTATTCAAAAGTGTGTAATTTATGAAATTGATATAGTTTAATGTGTGAAGCGTCGCTATGCTCAAAATTATGGGGCTCATATATGTTCTACGTATATTATATTCTACAATCAATCAGTGTGCTTGCTGTCATTACACTATATACACACGTTGTATATACTTAGCTACATGTTTTGTTCACCATAACCGCACAACTAAGCTGGTATGGTGAGTTCAGACAATAACAGTGGGTATAGACTCATTCCTCTCAATGTTTGCTGACGACGCCAAAATTATGCGACGGCTTAAGACAGAAGAGGACAGCTTGAGGCTTCAAGAAGATCTGGACAAGGTGCAATGGTCGAACAAATGGTTGTTAGAGTTTAACCCAAGCAAATGCAATGTAATGAAGATAGGTGTAGGGAGCAGGAGACCAGATACAAGGTATCATTTGGGGGATGAAATACTTTAAGAGTCAGAGAGAGAGAAAGACCTGGGGGTTGATATCACGTCAGACCTGTCCCCTGCAGCTCATATCAAGAGGATAACATCAGCGGCATATCTTGAGGTTATCTTGAGATGATTTCGGGGATTTTTAGTGTCCCGCGGCCCGGTCCTCGACCAGGCCTCCACCCTCAGGAAGCAGCCCGTGACAGCTGACTAACACCCAGGTACCTATTTTACTGCTAGGTAACAGGGCATAGGGTGAAAGAAACTCTGCCCATTGTTTCTCGCCAGCGCCTGGGATCGAACCCAGGACCACAGGATTAAAAGTCCAGCATGCTGTCCGCTCGGCCGACTGGCTCCCATCCCATCCCATCCAATATGCCAGGTTGGCTAACATAAGAACAGCCTTTAGAAACTTCTGTAAGGAATCTTTCAGAACTTTGTATACCACATATGTCAGACCAATCCTAGAGTATGTGGCTACAGCATGGAGTTCATATCTAGTCAAACATAAGATTAAACCGGAAAAGGTTCAAAGGTTTGCCCCAGACTAGTACTCGAGCTGAGAGGTATGAGCTACGAGGAGAGACTACGGGAATTAAACCTCACGTCACTGGGAGACAGAAGAGTTAGAAGGGACATGATCACCACATACAAGATTCTCAGAGGAATTAATAGGGTAGATAACGACAGACTATTTACCACAAGGGGCACATGTACTAGGGGACACAGGTGGAAATCGAGTACCCAAATGAGCCATAGAGACATTAGAAAGAATTTTTTCAGTGTGAGAGTTGTAGACAAATGGAATGCATTAGGAAGTGATGTGGTGGAGGCTGACTCCATACACAGCTTCAAGTGTATATATGATAGAGCTCAGTAGGCTCAGGAAGCTGTACATTAGTTGATTGACAGTTGAGAGGTGGGACCAGAGCCAGAGCTCAACCCTGCAAGCACAATTAGGCAAGTACACAGTCAGCAGATGCTCCTCCCCCCTCCCTCCCTCACCAACATTCATCCTCCCATCATAATGTTTCTGTTGTTATTACACTATATACACACATTATATATAGGTATCTACATGTTTCGTTCACCATAACTGTACAACAAAGCTGGTATTGTGTCCAAACAGCATAGTGGCCCACCCTACACAGCGTAACAAATAACACACCAGCCAGCAGACGACGCCACCTCCCTCACCAAAATGGCTCCTCCCAACCTACTCCTTTTGCTGTTATTACACTATATACACACATTATATATACCTGGTTGATACCTGGTTGATGGGGTTCTGGGAGTTGTTCTACTCCCCAAGCCTGGCCCGAGGCCAGGCTTGACTTGTGAGTTTGGTCCACTAGGCTGTTGCTTGGAGCGGCCCGCAGGCCCACATACCCATCACAGCCCGGTTGGTCCGGCACTCCTTGAAGGAATAAATTTAGTTTCCTCTTGAAGATGTCCACGGTTGTTCCGGCAATATTTCTTATGCTTGCTGGGAGGGTATATAAGTATGTACATTTGTGTTCATCATAGCAAACCACTAAGCTGGTATGATGAGTCCAGACAATAACAAGTTGCCACACAGAGTCAGCAGACAACACTACCTCCCCTCCTTCACCAAGATTACTCCTCCCACTATACTATGCACAGTGCTAATTATCACCACAATTCTGCTATTATCAGAATCCTGGTCATTTTTATCACATTCAGGGATCTTCTGTAATACAGTACTATCATCGCTAAATAACAGCAGTTTACCTGCTTGATACCTGCTTGATGGGGTTCTGGGAGTTCTTCTACTCCCCAAGCCTGACCAGGCTTGACTTGTGAGAGGTACATACATATGTAACCTATACAGTTACATATATATTTCGACATTTTTAGGCGATGCTGTGGTCACAAGCTGAACAGCAGTGCTGTTAGCTCATGCTGCGTGCACCAGCCTTGGTGGCTCACTTTGTACTGAGGCTCTCACACCCGAGAATGTTACCCACGAGTTTTTTTTAATGGTGTCCGTTCACAGGAATACTGAGGCACAGGATGTGAGCCCCGTGTACCTGTGGGAGTTTTGAATCGCTCCCTATACCTAAAAATGCTACATGGCACTCTGTGCACCCTTAATCTAGTGCCACAAGGCACTCTGTGTAGTGTGTGGTTAACGATATTTGCGAAGTACATTCCTCGTTGTGTGCGTTACACAGTGGAAGGGTTAAGGCATTTTTAATAAATGTTGAGATATTTAAACATAATCAACCAACCCAGAGACAAAAGCACAATATGTGGACAGTAGAATTAACAACAAATGTATTCCCATTAACATACTCACACTTGTTTCATAATCTTCTCTTTAATAGCAATTTCATTCTGAGGAGCAAAATCGGGGAAGATGAACCCCACAGATGGAACGAAGAACTGCATCAAATTTGGATCCCGTAGCAGATAATCTGGAATCTATAAAAAAAAATCCTAATATAAACCAGTAAAATGTATATGGTTATGCAAATTAGAGAACTGCTTGAGGAAACTACACATGAAACACGTTGCTGGATAGAAATGAGTGAAATCTCGTCACAGTATTTGACAAACTTTTGTTCCAAGAAGATGAACATGTTCTATATATTTTTGAAGTGATATATAGGGTTAGTCTTGAGGGTTACTTTATATTTTGAGAGATACTTTGAAGCTAAGAATTATTAGAAGTGTCAAAACATGAAACACAATTGTGATTTAAATTCAGAGAATAATTCACAATTACATAGATCAAATAACCCAACCCACACACACACAAAATGAAATGAAAGTGTTAACTTTTCGGCCAACCTGGAAGTGGAAGACTCCTGGAATTCTATATTCATCAAGAAGTGAGAAGCACGTCTATCACAGGCCCTAAACGTCTTTTGGATTTGAAGAGCCTAAATACTGGTGTCATCCCTGACATACTTAAAACTGCAAACATCGTGCCACTTCACAAAGGAGGTAGTAAAACAAATGCAAAAAATTATAGATCAGTAGCTCTAACTTCACAAATCATAATCTTTGAAAGAATGCTAAGAAGTAAGATTATAAATCACATGGAATCACAACACCTACATAACCCTGGGCAACACAGGTTCAGAACAGGGCACTCCTGCCTCTCAACTGCTAGACCACTATGACAGCTTTAGGTGCCATGGAAGGCAAGCAAAATGCAGATGTTAAAACTTTCAAAAGCTTTCTACAAATTTGACCATGGTGTTATTGCGTGCAAAATATGTTCAAAGTGAATTACTGGCAAAGGAGGGAGATGGATCTTAAACTTCCTAATGAGCAGAACCCAGAGTGTAATAGTCAACAAAGTAAAATCTGGATTATCCACTGTGAAACACTTAGTCCCTCAAGGAACCGTACTTGCTCTGGTACGTTTTCTCATCCTCATATTAGACATAGACATGGAAATAAACTATATTACTGTATCATCATTTGCAAATGATACTAGGATTTTCATGCAAGTAGACAATACAGAGGACACAGCAATCCTTCAATCTGATGTTAATTAGGTCTTTCAATGGGCCATAGATAACAATATCATATTTAATGATGATATGTTCCAGCTCCTGCATTTTGGAAACCCAAACATATTAAAATGGGAACCATATATAAAACACAATCAAATCCCACTATAGAATGAAAAGCAATGTAAAGGATTTAGGACTAATCATGTCGAAAGACCTTACCTATAAAGAACACAATAAAATAGCTGTCATGACTGCAAGAAAAATGACAGGCTGGATAACAAGGGCCTTACAAATTCGTAAAGCCATACCACAGATGATTGTTATTAAGACACTAGTGCTTTCTTGGTGGGAATATTGTTGCACACAAACTGCCCCATTCAGAATTGGAGAAATTGCTGACATGGAGTGTGCAGAGATCCTTAACACTATCACACTCTTCGAATGCCCCCGGGAGTCCACAATTCTTCTCTCGAGTCACAGTCGTGGACACGAGTGGCATCATATTAAAATATTTGTTAAAAGTTTAAATTTTATCCGATCAATCTGGGAGTGGTTTTAAAATGAGTGCCTTTAGATTGCGCACAATTTGATACCAAAATGAAAGATGTAACAAGAAAATTGATGTCAGAACACTTGAAAGATTATAAATATTTTTGTTCCAAATTTTAAAATATTTTTTAAAATTCTATTTATTGTGCTATTATTATGGGACTAGTTTTAAAATGCACGCCTTTAGATTGCGAACAATTTGATACCAAAATGAAAGATGTAACACGAAACTTGATGTCAGAACACTGCAAAGATATAAATAATTATGTGATGATGAGCATCCAAAATTTAAATATTTGTTAAAATTCCACTTATTGCTTTATTATGGGACTAGTTTTAAAATACGCGCCTTTATATAGCAAACAATTTTATACCAAAATGAAAGACGTAACACGAAAAATGATGTTATCAAACTGAACGAGAATAAACATTAGGTTGCGGTGTGCCAATTGGTGCTCGTTTATGGGTAAATTTAGGCCTTTCTGCAGGGAGTCACGCCAGGCTACTGGACATCATATGTATATACACCTGCAGGGAATTTAATTGCAAACACAATGATACCAAAATGAACGACGTAGCATGAGAATTAAGGTGAGAAAACTGAAACGAGAGATACACATTTTACTGATTTTGAAGCTCACGGGTAACTTTTGCCGAATTTAGGCTTTGCTGTGGGAAGTCACATGGGCTTTTGGACATTATATGCATATACACCTGTAGGGAATTCTATTGCGAACGTAATGGTACCAAAACGAACGACGTAGCACGAGAAATAAGGTGAGAAAACTGAAACGAGTATATGCATTTCGGTGGCGCCGCACACTTGACCGCACCGCCTGTAGTAGTCTGTGCATATCTGCTCCGCACACGATAGTGTTAACTGCTAGAATCCACTCAATAAAACACAGAATAAATTATCGACTAAAAGTTCTAAATCTGTATTCTCTAAAGGACAGGCAGAGAGAGAGAGAGAGAGAGAGAGAGATAATAATTTACACATGGCAAATATTAGCGGGACTGATTCAAAATCTGCACACAGATATAATATCAAATGAAACCAGTAGGTATGGTAACCAGTAGAAAGGATGTGCAAAATACCACCACTGAAATACAGAGGAACGATAGGCGCACTGAAAGAGAACTCAATCAACATCAAAGGCCCACAACTTTTCAACATTCTCCCGCTACACATAAGGGGCATAACTAATTGACCTCTCACACTGTTCAACAGAGAACTCGATAAACACCTCCAAAGGATACGTGATCAACCAGGTTGTGATTCAAACATCAGGCTGCAAGCAGCAGCATCCATGGTTGATCAGACGACCAACTCGCAGGCCTGGTCGGAGACCGGGCTGTGAGGACGTTGATCTCCAGAACTTCCACAATTTAGTCAAGGTAGGTATCCTCGTCTGTATTTGATACGGTCAAGGAAGGACAAAATTGTTGTCACTTCCATTTAATTTCACGTGTGTGTAGGTTGGACTATTTGTATAACTTAAATATTCCAATGTTAATTTTCTCTTTGGATTCAAGAAGAAATTCATGAATCATTAGGAATGCTAATAAAAACATTAAATTTACAGTATTGTATTTATAATTAACTCAATAAACAAATAATGTTAATACACTGTAGAGTATTCTCACTTCGGAATATTCGGAGAAGTTTTCAAAGAGTTCAGCAGAGGAGCTTCTGAATCCTCCTCTCATGCCACCTGGACCTATACCAATTCCTCGACCCCCTCCTCTTCCTCTACCTCTCCCTCTAAGGGCATTGCCACGGAAAATTCCTCGTCCTCTCAAGGCATTGTTTGTTGACCGTGCATCAGCTCTCCAGTCAATTGAGTCTGATCCATGACCTTCTGGGCGTCTAAATCCTTTCTCTCTTTTTGGAGGAGGGATGTCTAATCTTTTCCAGTTCTGCTTCTTAACTGCAATAAATGAAATTTTAGAAGACACTCAATGAGGAAGTATAATCCTCATAATAAATGGAAACTACAAAATATAGATACACTGTACTTCACATGCTAGAGAAAGTGTAAGAATACTGATATCTAATTACACCTGTTCTCTCATAATGTCAAGAATGCTTGTCATCAATGAAACCAAACTTGTGACACTAGTGTATCAGTCTGGATAATTGTGGGCAATGAGAATACATACACAAATGTATATGAAGTAGGGTATACCCAACTTTGCATATACATTTATTATGAGCATATTTATTATTACAGATCTATTATCTTCATATACTGTACATAAAAAAAATCACAGTAAAAAAGTAAGCAAGTAAAATTAATAAAATCACAAGTAAAATTACTAAAACCTGCAGTATAGGAATCGTGATGAAAATTTTAGGATGAGAATTTTTTGGGGTAGGTGAACACTGAATATAAAAAATTAAATAAAATACTACTTACTTTTGTTTTTCTTATTTTTTGCTGCCTTGGAAGGTGCATTGTGTGTTTGTTGAATCTTGTTGTTGGTGAGCGGGGCCGAGGCTTCTCGGTTCTCTTTAAGCGAGTCGTCATCGTGAGAACCGGAGTCTTCTGACTTTTCATTCTCTTTTAGGACATCTTCCTTCTCAACCTCTTTTAGTTTTCTTTCTTCGCTTTTTCTCCATTCTGACCGTGATGTCTATAACAAAAGCAGGGAGATAAACTCAACGAGACTTACTTTTATAGGGAGGAGAGGAGTTACTGTTTGGAAGGGGAGTCCCCTTCCATAATCACATCACATAACCCCATGCCTTGTAACACTATGGATACCACTTCTCTTTCTAAATTTTTCAAACCAGCCCCTGCTTGCCTTAAACTCTTTCTTATCTGCATCACTCGTTGCAGGGGTATTCTTTAGAAGGTCTTCGTGCAACACCCTGGCTTTCTCACAAATAATGGCCTCCGAAACACTATCACCCCTCAACTCCTTGTCGTGTATCCAAATTAATAACAACTTTTCCACTTCTTCAAGTATTTGTGGTCTTTGTGCCGTTAATGTTCTTACTCCTTTTGCCACTTTAGCACCCATAATCTTATTTTTCTTCTTAAGTATAGTGCATATTGTTGATGTGGCTTTGTTGTACTGCCTACAAAGTTCAACAACACGTGTACCGTTCTCATGCTTCCGAATGATCTCTTGTTTCTCCTCTATTGTCATCCTCACATGAGCTTTCTGGCCTTTATCCTTACCACTGGCTTTCTTGGTACCCATATATAGTAGTAAATACAAGAGAAAATATCGAGCCCATACAATGGGATCGATCTGGGATCCTTTCGGACGTAGGTTCGAACCCTCATCACAGCCCTTGTGGATTTGTTCATCGAACCTTCATCCCCGGACTCCCCAGGTACATGCACTACTGACTGAATTACGATGATGATGAATTACTGAAAATGATGGTTCAGTTGGTAGTGTATGTGCCCTGGATGTCTAGGAATACAGATTCGATCCCATTGTACAGTCTCAATATTTTCTCATTGATACAACACGTTCATGTGATTTCACTATACAAACTATGCATACATACATACAAAAAAAAGTTTACATACAAACTATGTATAAAACTACTTTTATTTGCAAGCCATTCCTATATGGAATATTGTGATGGAGTTCCAGTGGGATTCATCACATGCTTGTCCACAAGTACAAAGTTTACATTTCTCAAAATCAAATTCTTTTCAATATTTTACATTGACTTGGAACATTTTATTTAGTTTAAAAAAATTGTGCCCTTGTATAACAACTTACTGTACAGTTTACAAATTAGCCAATGCTGCTATCATTAATTATACAACCCTGTTTAATACTTGTCATTAACTATACAGTGGAACCTCGAGTGACGAGCACCTCAATCTACGAGCATTTCGAATAACGAGCGTGCCACTCTGCAAAAGTTTGTCTCGATTGACGAGCTTTCGCTTGATTAAAGAGAAAAGCACATGGTGCTTCCTAGCGTTCCCGCTGGTTCTTGATTCGCTGGTTTGTAGGAAATTCTCGGACACCTCCGACGATACAAATAACTTTTTTTTTTTTTTTAAAGATGCTAATGATGCTGGGATGTAAAGGGGTGACTGCTGTAATGTTGCAAAGCACTGATTTTAGTTTTTAGACAAAATTAGAATAAAAAATAAAAAAAATCTGAAAAAAGAACAAATGTCATAAAGGTTCATTCAGCGAATGTCAGGTAGGCTGCTACATTTTCTAAAAAAAAAAAAAAATGAGAAATAACAAAAAAAAATTGAAAGAATTTGAAAAAAAAAAAAGTCATAATGGTTTGTTCAATGTCAGGTAGGCTGTTTGTTCAGTGTGTGTCAGGTAGGCTGCTCCATTATTTAAAAAATCGAATATCATATTGATGTTTTTCGGCGGTAGAATGGATTAATTTTATTTCCATTATTTCACTGTCATACAAATTATAAAATGTTTCAACAAGTATAAACATGACAAACATCAAATGAACGAAAACAATGCGTTCGTTTCTGCCGCGAACGCATACTGAGCGACGTGGTTCTATATTTGGCGCTTCTCTTACACATGCTTTGTACAAATGTTATACAGTTCATCTTATAGAAAATTTTATTGCAAACACATTGGTATAAAAAAGAAATACGTACATAGAAAAGTAGGGTCAGGAAACGTATAAACTTTCCAAGCATGATTTCCCCCCTGTGTTTTCGCCAGTACGCTCGCGGCTAACTACTCTCCACTTCACACACTCTTGCGGGTGGGCAATTACCATTATTAAACATTCATATGCATATGTCCGTGTAGAGAATTTTATTGTGATTCCAATGATACCAAAATTAGCGATGTAGGACAACTGTAGGCTTCGCAACCATTAAGAGAGTGGAAACATTTTGTTGCTGTTTGGCGCTCTCGGCGAGTGATCTGCATAGTTTTAAATGGGGAAATTTGTTTTGAAAGACGAGCGTTTCACATGATGAGCTTGGTGCCGGAACGAATTAAATTCGTTAATCGAGGTTCCACTGTACAAAGTTATCAATGATTCTATCATTAATTTATACAAACTGTTCACAAATTCAAATATTAATTCAATAACATTTGCAGTATAATTGTATACACACTAATCATGCTTCTTCATACTGTACTCCTATTTAACTCACATTTTTACATTTAAATTAATTTACATTTACATGAATCTCTAATTAAAATACATAATTGCACTGGGCAGTGCAAGTGATAAAACTATAATCCCAAACATTCTAGGCATACAGTAAAATAAGTCTTAAGATAAAGCTCATCTAATTCTTACATGATAATACCAGTCAAGTTGTTGAGTGTCGCATCGCCTGGGTTGTCACACGAGCCGGTACACGACAATAAACACTGACAGTTACGTGCTCTTGTTAAACTGACATATGTGCAGTATCAAACTGAACAAAACACATCTCTACAGCTAAGAATCAAATGGCTGACGATACCGAGCATAGAACCGTCTTGTACGCAATAAACATAATAAATTAGTGGCATTCAATATTATACGACTAAAGAAGGGACATAAAATAAGATGGTAAATGAAGAAAAAGTCTTATGGATACAAGCACCGTAAAGAGAGCACACAAAAGTGAAACCAAACTTGTAAAGGATGGCTGGTGAACAACCAACGTGAAGGATAAAGAACATGGAAGAGTACATATATCAAAGAGAGATGTTCCACGAAAGTAAAAGATGAACACGACAAGATAAGATCAATGGGGAGAACAATTATTTGAACTTGAAGAACTATATGCACAATGAAGTCACAAGAAAGAAATGATTCTATGAGAAAATAAAGAGGCCATGCCTGTGCAGTTTAGGCAAGATGCACAGGCAAGCCCATTGTACAGCCTCAATATTTTCTCACTAAAGAACTACCTTTGCCTCTTAATAATAATTCAAATCTACAGATGCATTATATTTCTCAAACAATTACTATCATTTTTAATTTGAGAGTTGTCTGTTTCATATGCTTGTGAATCACCTTACAGGTTTACCACCATCTAGGCTATGGAACTGTTCATTTAGTGTTTCGTATATTTCTTTTTCATTCTTTATGAATTTGTTCCCCATTCTCAATCTCTGTATTTTATCCTTTACATGCAGTTTGCTTTTAATGAATTTATAGAAAAGGCCTGGGTCAGGTTTACATTTGTCCACACACACACACAAATATATAACATATATATAGTATAGACTGAGGTGAGGGAAATCACACTAAAAGTAGGGCTATTAATAATTTTTACATTATTTCACTGTAATCTGCAATATCCATACCAAAGAGAGGATTTCCGGAGTTCTTCTACTCCCTGAGCTCAGCCTGAGGCCAGGCTCCATATGTATGTATATATTTATCTGTAACTTTGTAGGAAAACGGTTCATTTAAACTTTACTGTATATTATTTTGTTGGTGGGCTGTGGGGCCCAATTTCCATTCCACCATACAAATTATGGGAAGTTCTACAATTGTTAATATTTCTCAGTCTACTATAGACAAACTATAGCACTCGTCTTAATTAACTTTACATTTTCTTTAATTTTGTAAGAACTAATTAATTTGTTTAATTTTGTAAAAAATTCTACTCTGGGAGGGAGGATCACCATGAAAATTATGCAGCAGAATTGTCAGTAATAGTTTTTCTCGTGCTTGCTTGAATATGCAACCATACTTGTGCATTTACTCACCCTAAATGTAATTTTACAGCTAAAATGACTTTGCATAGTCTAGCACTGCTCCTTGCATAACCAAACCTACCTGGAGTAAATGAATAGCTTCTTGTGCCTGCTGCACCTCAACCAGAGTTGGCCAGTCCGCTACATCATTGATGCCATTACCCTGAAAATATTACACTATGCAATTTTTTTCTTTTAAATAGTTGCCAAGACCTACAGAAAATTGAGACAGCAAAAAGAGAAACAAAATTAATAACATAAAACTAAGAACAACGGCTACATAACTCACATACAGGAACCTGCCATAAGAAACAAAGACAAGCATCTGCACGTATTCTCTCGATTCCATTATTACTCTGCTTATGTTTCATCACAGATATGATTAGTAAAGATGAGTAACAGAGAATATTCCAATGAATTAAAATTATTTAACCTGCCCTCATCACACATTAAAAAATGCAAACATGTAAAGTGTAAGCACAGTCTTGTACATGGTAATATTGCAGATTTACAGAACTGTTCTGAATTTAACACTATTGTAATTATACCTTACACAGCTTCAAAGTGTTTAACAAGTTTTTGGAATAAATGTACAATATGAAGTTAGCGCAGGTTTAGTTAAAATTAATTGCAGGCAGGAAGGATTGAAACAGAAAACCTTATACATTTTTAAACATGTTAAAATACTGACCATGACATACAGGTCTTTGCTTGTCAGCATTCAGGGAAGGTGAAGCCTCCATAGAAGCTGCAATTGAAATAAGTGCAAGTTCCATATCCCATGCTGCACGGGGTTTTGCCCCCAAGCAGCTGAATCTAAAACAACAACTAAGTGCAATTTTACACTAGGTGGTATGTCCAAATATGTCTTTGGTGTCACAAACTTAACAAAATTAGGATGGGCTCATTATACAATACAGTATTACTTAGGTGAAACAAATACTGTACCATAAATAAAAATGATTGCTACAAATCTGACATTTACAATACACTTCAGGCAAAGCTTTGTTTTTCTGCTTGCCAACAATCTGGCAGGCAGCCAGGCAGCCAGGCAGCCAGCCAACTTGGTAGTCAGCGTACTAGCCTAATATTCACCAAACCAGCAAAGGGGTGGAGGCAAGGGGGAGTTGTAAAACTATCATGTGTGGAAGAAAAAGTGAAGGATTCAATAAAGAAATTAAGAACAGAAATGGTGAAGGAGAAGGAGTCAATCATGACAAAGGTGGTGGTGAAGGAAGCACCCTCTTCTTCCTCGCAGTACTGTCCAAAGCCTAGAAATAGAATACTAGCATTCAGCAACTCATCCCTTGGGAATCTTCAACTATTAAGGTCTGAAAAATAATATGCAATGTAGCATGTTATTTTAGCATATGTTGGTGGCATTTTTAATGAAGACACTTAGTTTTTGTGTCCGAAGACTGTAAATGAAGCAGATTTCAGTACTAGCCTCTGGACAGTTTATTACCTATAATGCACCTTTCTAGGTGTCTACCCATGTCATCCTACAGTTTAGGACAATACATCTGCCTGCAAACAAAAAGAGAACAAATTAAAGATAACCCCTTAAATTTGATGGTAAAAATAAGTTTTTTATGACTTTCCTAAGAACTGTGCACCGATTTATAGAAAAATTAATATCCTAATATTTATTCTGACAGGTTTTCATTAGATACCTTTTACGTTTCAATATACATTTGAAGTAAGTACAGTACTGTATGTATATTCATAATTCTTTTGTTTTTCCAATGAACTGGTGCAGGAACCATACACAGGATCATAAAAATTTTAAACCTCAATACTGTATAACAAATCCCCGTAAAGTCTAAACCTGATAAAATCCGCATATCAGAGTTCTCATCCAAAATTTAAATTTCTCTGAAAATGATGTTAAGAAACTCCTGTTCATCAGCTCATCACAAAGTAATTTCCATCAAATCAGATCGTTTTCCTATTTTTGCTAATCTTTCTTTTTTATTTGCAAGTATTATTCAAAATAATGACATTTTAGTGTGAATCCTTGTTCTGCATCACAAATTGTACAAAAGTTTGATTGTAATGTTTATTTTTGTGGCAGACAGATGTACTGTGTGGGCATACATACTCACCATATGTTTTTCTTGTACGAGTAGCTTGGTCTCACCTCTCATTACTCAAACAGTACTGCTAGCTTATCTCTGTATATTTCATTATTTGAGGTGAAGCCATGTTGTTAGGCAAGAGTAGAATGGGTACATCAAGCAAGGTTACGAGAAACTTCCAAACCATGGATAAGAAGGCCAACTTATTAGATACAAAATTGTGACTGGGAAGGCAATTGGCCGGCAGAGAAGTATGATATACCTGCTTGATGGGGTTCTGGGAGTTCTTCTACTGACCAAGCCCGGCCCGAGGGCCAGGCTCGACTTGTGAGAGCATGGTCCAACAGACTGTTGCTCGGAGCAGCCCAGGCCCACATACCCAACACAGCCCGGATGATCAGGATCTTTTGAATAAATCTATCTAGTTTTATCTTTAAGATGTCCATGGTTGATCTGGAAATATTTCTTATACTGTACTTGCTGGGAGGATGTTGAACAATCACGGACCTCTGATGTTTATACAGTGTTTTCTGATTGTGCGTATGGCACGCCTGCTCTTCACTGGTTCTATTCTGCATTTTCTTCCATATTATTCACTCCAGTATGTTGTTGTTTTACTGTGTATATTTGGTACCTGGCCTTCCAGTATTTTCAACGTGTATATTATTTTATATCTCTCTCATGTCCTTTCTAGTGAGTACATTTGGAGAGCTTTGAGATGATCCCAGTAATTTAGGTGCTTTATTGCGTCTATGTATGCCGTATATGTTCTTTGTACTCACTCTATTTCAACAATCTCTCCTGCTCTGAAGGGGCAAGTGAGTACTGAGCAGTACTCAAGATGGAACAGCATAAAAGTGATTTGAATAGTCACACCATTGTGATGGGATCCCTGGATTTGAAAGTTCTCGTAAACCATCCTATCAGTTTTCTGGCTGACACATATTTGCTTTGTCAATATACTACCACTATTCCCAACATAAAAATACAAAGAAAGCAAATCATGGAGTTTGTCCATAAAGGGAAGAGCAGTGATTGTAAAAGAAGTGACAGAAAAACAATGACAACTTTTAAGTACTGTACAAGATTTGGATGACAACAGTGATTTAGACAGCTCTATGGGTTGTAGCTGGCTTCAGGTGAAGAGCTAAATGGCAATATTAAAGATAGATATAGGAGAATGTTAAATGGTGAAGATAATACTTTGAAAAGTCTAATAGGTGATAATAGTGGTACTAATTTTTTAACATTATTGGATTTATTGGTGTGAGAAGAGTAAACAATGCTATGGAGGTTGAAATATCTATGTGGGAGGCAAATATGTCAGTGTGAATGTTGAAATGTGGGAAAGGTGCCAGTGTTATTCAAATATATTCAGAAGTTAATAAATGTTATGGGAAATTGGAATAGAGTAGGTATCGAGAATGTGTGAGGTGTGGGCTACAGTAGTAGCAGTGTGTCACAGGATTGGAAAAAAGCAAATCACTGTTCCCCTTATGAACAAATCCACAAGGTCCGTGATGAGGGTTCGAACCTACGTCCGAGAGGATCCCAGACGCGCCTTAATCGACTGTGCTAAGACATGGTAAAAAGACTTGCAATCAGGAGTTCAACTGACCTCACACGGATCCTGCAGTCTCTATGAGATACAAACCAGGGTTTTACGCAATTCCCCCATGCACTCGAGCTCTGTCAATAAGTTATTCTACCTCTTCGCACTTACTTCATTACACTTATGAAGTATGCGAGTGTAATTGAACTTACACATTACACTTCATTTACCCTTATGTATAAATAAAGGAAAAAGTGTACACAAATTATAGAAGCATTTGTTTAATATATGTTGTGGTAAAGTGTATGGAAGGAGTGTGATCAGACGAGTTGTAAATCAACGAGAAATTCATCAGTGATGAACTCGGCAAGTTCTATGGTGGAAGACACTGTGTAAATTAGGTACATTACAACGTCCAATTCACACATCTAAAAATAAAGACAAGTGACAATCTTTACTCTCAGATGAGTGGGTTGGTTGTGTTATTTCCACCCTTGTTATTGTGACTGTGTCTACGGATACATTGGAACCTCGGTTCTTGTATGCCACTGTTCTCGTACTTTTCAGTACTCGTACTCAACTTCTCCGAAAAATTTGATTCTGTGCTCGTTGTTTGCCTCAGTGCTCTGAGTTTGTTCATATACGTACAGGTCCACCGCGAGCGTGGCACTTCAGTTTACCAGTGTCTCCCAACTAGTGATGATCGCGCTTGAATTCTTTGTTAAGAATTTCATTGTTTCTGTGCTTTTTTTGGTTTCTGAACATAAAAGTTCTTATTATATATCACACCATGGGTTCCAAGAAAGTCAGTGGTAATGTTCAACCTAAGAAAATAGTTGTGAGGATGACAATAGAGGAAAAACAAGAGATCATTCACAGTGAGAATGTGATGTCTCACTACAGACAAGTGTTAAAACGTAGGGAAAAACAACTGTCTAAAGACAGATTCTTAGTAAGACACAGTGAGCCACAACCACATCTTAGTGGTATGCCTGCTAAACGTAAGAGAGAGAGTACCCCAGAAATGACATCACTGCTGTTATAATGGAATTGGACCCCTTTCCAAACACTAAGACCTCTCCTCCTCCCCCCACCCCTTCCTCACTGTCTTCCATATGCCAACAAGAGTCCTCAATAAAGGTAGGGTACCTTAGAGTATTATTCTGTATAAAATGTATTTTTAGTTAATATATTTGGAGGTGTGGAACGGATTAATTCAATTTACATTCAATTTATTTCTTGTGGAAAAATTTGTTTCGGTTTTCGTACCGTCTCTGGAAAAGGATTAACTACGAAAACTGAGGTACCCCTGTATAGTATTTGCACTGAGACGGCTTGAAGAAAAGGCCTGTGAGAAGGATTATAAGAGTGTCATTTATGGACTAAGAAAAAGCATATGACAATGTTAATAGAGAAGAGCGGAGGCGAGTTGTGTTCTGGGGAAATCAAGTTGGGTAAGGCTCACAATGAGCTATGGGGAGGGAAAATGCAAACCTAATAATAACAAGGACACAAGTCATCTGTTCCTGTACCCACCTGAGGCAATGAGAGCAATGAGAATGTGTGGTTTTTGCAGTGCACTCTTTGGTGCTGTGAAAAGTTAAATTAATATGTAGGTAGCAGCGAATATGTAATTGTTTATGTCCTAATGTGTAACAATTATGATACTGTATTAATGTAATTGTATTGGCATACCCAAGGATTGTGATAATGTCACCACGATTATTCAATACTGCACATTCATGGATGGGGTTATGAAGAATTTCAAGATAAAAATGCTAGAAATGTAAACCTAGTATATAGGCCTAGGCTAATATGAACAATTTGAGAATGGCATAAAAAAAATAAGAGAAAATACTGAAATCATACATTGGAATTGAACCCATCCCAGAACTCCCATTACACACAATGCCGATTGGACCACGATGACTACAATAGTTAGTACATCTCGACCAGAAACATTACTTGACTTACATGGAGCTTGCAAGACACTGTCCAAGTACCACAATACATCGAGTGGCTTCAATATTTCCTCATAGATATATCACATTTGTGATTTCATTGTGCATCATACATACAGATAATGGCATTCTTTTAATTAAGAGTACAAGTGACATGAAGACTACTTTAAGATTTGACTGAGGTGTGCAAGAGACAACTGTTAACATGGACAAAAGTAAACATGTGTGAAGAGAAAGGAGACACCTCTAAACACATATTTGAGTAAAGGCATCAACTGCTGCATGACAGGAGTATCTGGAGTACAGTATTATAGAAAAAACCAACGTTGAATGTAATGAAACGCCATTTTCTGGGCGAGTCTCGAAGGCTCCCCAGAGCTATCCAGGCTAAATGGATATGTATATTTTTCTGGCATCAGTCACTGCATGGAGTTCTTGCCTACCTACCTACCTACCAGGGACCACGAGCCAGAACCTTGGTCCCCCTCTAGAGAGGCACGAAGAGCAATAGCCTAGAGAGACACCCCCCCCTTCCTGTGGTTGGGAGCATTCTATGTCTGCCATCGACCGGGACAGGCACCCAGAAAGGTAGGCGCCCCAAACCAAACCCCTATTCTGGTAACAGTATTGTGACCGAAAGCCGAATAGGTTAACAGAAATCCCCAGACGAAAATTAGCAAACTAGCATGACGTTATCATGTCGCTGCACTCCTGTCTGCGCAACACCCCCCCTCCCCGGGAGGGGGAAGAGGGAGCCCCAAACCCAACCTACAGTTCTTAGGCTGGATGTCCAAAAACGCAAAAAACAACACTGACCGGAGGGAGGGAGGGGTTCCGGGAGCCCCGTCGGCTCCCGGAACTAACTACCCAGAAGATAAGGAAAAATAGGGACTTACTTACCCCGGGAGGCGGTTCGTCCTCACTCCTCAACACAAAGTCGAGACAACTGGCTGCAACCGCTGACCCAAGGCAACGCAGCCTGGTCCTGGAATATTCACCAGGTAGCGAGCAGCCAGGACCCTGCTCGACCTCCAAAAACCCCAAGCCTGAATGTCAACCCAAGACATGTTGCCAAAGATGGCAGCCAAAGCAGCAAACTTATGCACGTCGTGGGCACAAGGATAAACCCCAGGCTGGCTAGACTTAATAATCCTGCAGACAACCTGAGAGACCCGAGCCCGGGAACAGGGAAGAAGGGAAACCGGGTCAACCCAAAGCGCATCTCTGGTCACCGAAGATGTGGCGCGCAAATAACAGCGGAAAGCCACAACCGGACACAACAAATGATGCACCCCAGCCTAACCAACAAAGCATCAACAACCCAAGGCCCCCTCCAAAATGCAACCGTTTCATTCTTTGCCAGAAAAGGAGACGGCTGCAATCGAACAAGACGACCACCATGACCAAAGGAGCAGAAACCCCTGCCCTGGAGGAGAGCATGAACCTCCCCGACCCGACCCCCAGAGGTCAATGCCCACAGGAAAAGAGCTTTAAAAAAACAATCCCGAATGGAAGGGGCCACAACAAACCGAGGAGAAGAGAGAAATGAGAGCACCCGGTTCAAAGACCAGGGGCCAGATTCACGAAGGTACTTACAAATGTTTTTCTTCTTAGCGCCTTCGTAGCGGCTACGTCGGTATTTAGGTAGGCATACTAGGAAGGAAAATCTTCGTAAGTTTGCTCCGTCTGCTAAGGTTGCTGCTGACCACTCGTAACTAAACAGATGGGACTTCCTCCAGTTCACTAAGAACCCGAACCTGGCGAGCTGGGAAAGAACCAAATCCCTGGCGAGCAGACATGCGGACTGGCTGGGAACTCAAACCAGCAAGTCGTCGAGGTAGGCAAGAACCCAAACACCTAACAGATGCAGGCGGGACACCATGACCCGAGTAAGGCGTGTGAAAACGCGAGGTGCCAGATTCAACCTGAAGGGAAGACAACGAAAGCGGTTGACGCCCCACAACAAGCCCAAGCCAATCCCTAAACCTCAGATGAACCGGGATGTGCCATTACATGTCCTTGTGGTCCAGGGACACCAACCAAGCACCCGGCTCCAACAGAAGATGAACCTGGGACGTAGTAGTCATCCGGAAGGAAGGGCAATAAACCCACGGGTTCAGACGGGACAAGTCCAGAATGAACAGAAGGTCCGCGCAGTCCCGTTCCGGGACTGGAAATAGGCGGGAAACCCACCCGAGAGACGTCGTCGTTTCGACCATGCCCAGGTGAGCCCACTCCAAGATGACCCGACAAAGAGCAGGAGAAGAGGCCTGCCTTGCCAGCCCCGAACCCCCTAAGGGAGGAGGAGCCACCCAACACCACCACAGGCCGCATGAAACGACTCGAAAAGCCCACGAATCATGGGACCAGGCATGAGCAAACAGGGAGAGCCCCCCCCATCGTCCCCGTTAATGGGGCGAACCACAAAAGGACCGACGTGCCTTGCGAGAACCTAAACAGCGAACTGGGCGATCCCCGCGCCAATCAAAAACAGACGGAACCGGAGGCTGCGCCTGCCCTGAATCTGGCATCAATGGCCTACCACGACGAAAAGAACCCCGAGCCCTGGCACGACCTTTCCAGGGATGGCCCCCCACGAGACCCCCGGAGCAACAACAACTCAGACATAGGCCGACAACTAACCGAGGCCGCCTGCAGGTACTGCACCACAGCAGACTCAGCAAACAGCAACAGACAAAAAGGAGAAGACAACCGAAGAGCCAGGGCCCAAGCGGATTCTAAAGAAGAAGCCAGCACCGCCTGCCGACATGCGAGGCGAGAAGCATAGAACAGCGAAACCGCATCACGCAGTAGCGGTGCAAAGAGCTTCAACAAAAGCAGACGACGCCCGCACTGCGGAGGGCAGCGCACCAAACCCGGCAGCGGCCCCAAGCGCCCCCACATCCAACTCAAGCCAGTCCGAGGACAGCTCAAGGAGGAAAAAGAAACGCAGGGCCAAAGCAAGCAGGCCACGAGTACGCAAATCCTCCACCACCAAGGCAGCCAGAAGGGAAGGAACCTGCACGTGAAGCTACATGACACCAACATCCCGCGTTTTGGGCAAGGGCGAACAAAGAAGCATTGAGATGCTCGAAGGCGCCCCCCCTTCCCCCAGGAAAACCTGAAACGCTGACCGAGTCTCTCGCCACTCAAGCGGGCAGGACCGACGGAACGCGTGCCAAGCCTCCAAGGAAAAAAAAAGAGGTCAATCTGACAACCAGCACGACTCTGGAACTTCATAACCAACCCAGTACGAACCAGCAGAGCTGTACACGAAGGAACGGGGATCCATCACGAAGGCATAATCCGGGTCGTGCAGGAGGTAAGCCGCCAAGGCTTCATGCACCTCAGAAGCAGAGACTCCATGCATTGACTGATGCCAGAAAGAAATACATATCCATTCAGCTTGGATAGCTCCGGGAAGCCGACGGGGCTCTTCCCAGAAAAAGCAGTTTGTGGACGTATTATATAATCTGCGGTTATTATCAAATTTACATCTGTGTTATAAACATCCTGCTATACCAGGCTTGTCTTTTAGGCTAAAGATAAAAAAAAGATAAAAAATTTGCCTTATTACTGCTTGGATGGCTAGGAAAATGTTCTAAAATCTTCTCCAATTCTTTAACAATTCTAATTCTAATTAACAATTCTTGTTAACAGTCGTGACTCAAAACTGAGTGTTCACATACGAAGCACAAGGATAAAAGGATTTAATGACCATAAAGACCGACATTCTTACCATTAGAGGTGACTAGAAAGATTCAAAGTTCATGCAAGAAATATGAACTCAAAGAGACTTCATGCAACTTTTTGTTAGCCTTATTCTTGCCACTTGTCTTGGTGCTAAAAAGGAACTGTTAGATGCAATAGACATTCATAAAAATCTTCCACTAACCTTTAAATTTGCCTTATTCTTATCGTTGGTGTTAACATGAGTGATGTTTTGCTGGTGGAGTGATTCTGCTGGGGTAGGATCGCTCACAACAGTGCTACTAACACTGGAGTTGACAGGCATGGATTCAACTAAAGGAGTGGTAGGTTGAGAGAGAACAGGAATGAGCGGCTGATTTGGTTGAGGAGTGGCAGGCTGACACACTAACGGTGGTGTAGGTCGACACACTAGTGGTGGTGCAGGCTGACACACTAGCGGTGGTGCAGGCTGACACACTAGCGGTGGTGCAGGCTGACACACTAGCGGTGGTGCAGGCTGACACACTAGCGGTGATGCAGGCTGACACACTAGTGGTGATGCAGGCTGACACACTAGCGGAGGTGCAGGCTGACACACTAGCGGAGGTGCAGGCTGACACACTAGCGGAGGTGCAGGCTGACACACTAGCGGAGGTGCAGGCTGACACAGTAGAGAAGGGGCCTCTTCAGTCACTACCCCAGGAACCACAATTATGGATGGTGTGGTTGAGACGCTGGCTAATATGGCTGCCGGTACAACTGCTGCTGCTGCTGCTGCTCTTACTTTAGGTGTTTTTGGCTCTTCCACACACTTGCCTGCTGCACAAAAATATTATTATAATAATGCAGTGCATGAAACATAATAGTACATCTATTCAAATCATTGATCAAAATAATACAGAAGCACACTGCTACACCAAAATAATTGAGGAGCATGCAGCTACTGGTACTTTAACTTGATCCATGGAGAAAATTATGCATGTTGAAGGGTGTAAACAGTAAAGGCAATGAATTTATACCAAATGAAATTGACAAATCAAGTCATCATATTTCACAATCAGGTGAAGTGGGAAGATAAGGGACATGATGCACCATATCAAGAAAAGGCATTGTAGGTACAGTACTAGTACTGTATATTCAGGGCAGAGGTATGTCTCCTGATGGCCTAATTATGCTTCGTAAGAAGTAGAAACTCCAATATAGTACATCTGGAGCATACCTGGATAGGGTTTCAGTAGTTCTACTTTCCGAGCCCAGCCTGGGGCCAGGATCGACTTATGACTGGGTCCAACAGGCTGTTGCTCGGAGCGGCCTGCAGGACCACACATGCACTACAACCCGGTTGGTTCGGCACTTCTTGCAAGAACTTAAACAAATGCTTCTTGAAGACATCCGCTTTTGTTCCAATATTTCTAATGCTTGCTGGGAGAGTATTTAACAGCTATGGACCTCTGATGACAGTGCTCTCTGATTGTGCCTAAGGCACCTCTACTCTTCACTGGTTCTATTCTGCATTTCCTTCAATACCTTTTGCTCCAGTATGTTGTTATTCTACTGTGCAAATTTGGACCTGGCCCTCCAGTCTCTTCCATGTGTGTATTATTTGATACTTTTTTCGTCACCTTTCCAGAGACCACATTTTGAGAGCTTAGAAATAGTTCCAATAATTTAGATATTTTATTGCATTTATGCATACCATATAGTGATTTAAATAGTATTAGTGTTACTGTGGAATCTCTGAATTTGAACATTCACATAATCCATTCTATCATCTTACTCAAATACAGCGGCAGGCAAGAAAATGATAGGATGGATTACAAGAACGTTCAAATCCAGAGATCCCACAGCATTGCTAATACTGTACTACTGTATTTAAATCACTGGTGCTGTCCCATCTTGAGTACAGTACTGCTCTGTACTCGCTTCTCCTTTCAAAGCAGGAGAGCTCTCTGAATTAGAAGGAATACAGAGAACCTATACAACATGCATAGAAATGATAAAACATCTAAATTATTGGGACTGTCTCAATGTTCTCAAAATGTATTCTCTGGAAAGGAGACAAGAAAGGTATCAATTACACTTAACATATACCTGGATCTTACCTGGAGAGGGTCTTGGGAGTTCTTCAACTCCATGAGGCTAGACTCTACTTGTGATAACTTGGTCCAACACGCTGTTGCATGTAACTGCTCGTAGGCACACATAGCCACTACAACTCAGCAGGTCCGTTACTTCTTGCAAGAACTTATCTAATTGGTATTTGAAAAAATCCCCCTTTGTTCAGACAATATTTCTAATGCTTGCTGGGAGAGTATTGAACAGCTGAGGCCCTCTGTTATTCAGTGTTCTCTTATTGTGCTTATAGCACCTCTACTCCTCACTTTTTCTAGTCTACATTTCCTTCCATAATTTTCGCTCCGGTACGTTGTTATTATACGGTGCAAATTTGGAAGTTGACCTTCCAGTATCTTCCGTGTATGTATTATTTGATACCTCTCTCATATCCTTTCCAGAGTACATCTGAAAAGCTTTGAGACGGTCCCAGTAGTTTGATTGTTTATTGTGTCTATGCGTGCCGTGTATGTTCTCTGTATTACCACTTATTTCAGCAATCTCTCCTGCTCTGAAAAGGGAAGTAATTACTGAACAATACTCTAGACGGGACAGCACCAGTGATTTAAATAGTATTTACGTTGCTTTGGGATCCCTTATAAACATCGAAGATACTGGAGGGCCAGGTTCCAAATTTGCACAGTAGAACAACATACTGGAGCAAAAGATATGGAAGGAAGTGCAGAATAGAACAGCCTATCCTCCTGTTTTCATAGTACTTATAAGAAGGATGAGGATCATAGTATATACACTGATGAACAACGCAATTAGAAAGCAGAAATCGGTACTATTGAATTTAAACAAACCGGAAAACTATTTTCTACTCATGTTGCAATGACAAATTAAACTGAACTAAAATAACCTTCATAGGTCTAATACACACTATCTGCGGCCTATAGTGTGTGATCTGAGTAACACAAATTTGTAATAATTATGTTCCTGATCAATTCATCATTATTAGTGAAAATGAAGTCAAATGTGTTTTCTTTTCCAGTTGGTTCTACTATTTGCTGGTTAAGGCAAATCTGTCGCACATCCATATCAGGTCATTTGCATGTGACTGTTTGTTTAGGCTACTTCCTGGTATTCTCTCAGCTATTACTGTATAAGCTAGGTACTACTTCCATTTCAGGTTTCATAGGTTGAAGTCCCCAATCACAAGTCAGCAACCAATCAGCAAATAAAACAACTAGCCAACCACATTTGTTTGCCACTCTCCATAGTGTATAGTAGGTCACTGGAAACGGTAGACCTACCAGAAATATGGAAGACGGCTAATGTAGTCCCAATATACAAAAAGGGCGACAGACAAGAGGCCAGTGTCCTTAACTTGTATACCATGCAAGGTGATGGAGAAGATCGTGAGAAAAACCTAGTAACACATCTGGAGAGAAGGGACTTCGTGGCAACCCATCAACATGGGTTCAGGGAGGGTAAATCTTGCCTTACAGGCTTAATAGAATTCTACAATCAGGTGACAAAGATTAAGCAAGAAAGAGAAGGATGCGCGGACTGCATTTTTTTGGACTGTCAGAAAGCCTTTGACACAGTACCCCATAAAAGGCTGATACATAAGCTGGAGAAACAGGCAGGAGTAACTGGTAGGGCGCTCCAGTGGATAAGGGAGTACCTAAGCAATAGGAAGCAGAGAGTTACAGTGAGGGGGTGAGACCTCAGATTGGCGTGAAGTCACCAGTGGAGTCCCACAGGGCTCTGTACTCGGACCTATCCTGTTTCTGATATACGTAAATGATCTCCCAGAGGGTATAGACTCATTCCTCTCAATGTTTGCTTACAACGCCAAATTTTTGAGAAGGATTAAGACAGAGGAGGACAGCTTGAGGCTTCAAGAAGACCTGGACAAGCTGCAGGAATGGTCGAACAAATGGTTGTTAGAGTTTAACCCAAGCAAATGTAATGTAATGAAGATAGGTGTAGGGAGCAGGAGACCAGATACAAGGTATCATTTGGGAGATGAAATACTTCAAGAGTCAGAAAGAGAGAAAGACCTGGGGGTTGATATCACGCCAGACCTGTCCCCTGAAGCTCATATCACGAGGATAACATCAGCGGCATATGCCAGGTTGGCTAACATAAGAACGGCCTTTAGAAACTTGTGCAAGGCATCTTTCGGAACATTATATACCACATATGTCAGACCAATCCTGGAGTATGCGGCTCCAGCATGGAGTCCATATTTAGTCAAACATAAGACTAAACTGGAAAAGGTTCAATGGTTTGCCACCAGACTAGTACCCGAACTAAGGGGTATGAGCTACGAGGAGAGACTACGGGAATTAAACCTCACGTCACTGGGAGACAGAAGAGTTAGGGGGGGGACATGATCACCACATACAAGATTCTCAGAGGAATTGATAGGGTAGATAAAGACAGACTTTTTAACACAAGGGGCACACGCACTAGGGTTGGGGGGGACAGGTGGAAATTACGTGCCCAAATGAACCATAGAGACGTTAGAAAGAATTTTTTCAGTGTCAGAGTAGTACTGTAGACAAATGGAATGCATTAGGAAGTGATGTGGTGGAGGCTGACTCCATACACAGCTTCAAGTGTAGATATGATAGAGCCCAGTATGCTCAGGAACCTGTACGTTAGTTGATAGACAGTTGAGAGGTGGGACCAAAGAGCCAGAGCTCAACCCCCACAAGCACAACTAGGTAAGTACATGATTACACCAATCAACAAATAACCAACCACAAACCAACAACCAAAAGCCACCAATCAACAAATACATAATAACCAACCAACCACAACCCACCACGTAGGTAAACACTGCCATGGGAGTAAGACGGGAGAACCCACACCAGCTGACTATAATTACACCACCACCTGACCCCCTCTGCCAAGTACTCTAAATTCTGACCTATATGGAACAGACACCCCCACCCTTCACGTCTAGGCTTTAACATGTCAAAACAATAAAGATATACATATGTGGTCATTTTCTTCCTTCTAGGGCTTTACCCTGAGGTTACACTGAAACTGAAGATCAATGGCCCCAGAGCCCAGTCTCTTGGTTGGTTCTCCATTAGGCTGTCAGACACCGCTGCATGCAGTCCAACATACGAATTTTTAACTATTTATTATGCATTTCTACCTATCAATGGCTTAAACACTCTTCCAGGTTTGTTTCTTTGTATCATTTTAATCTTACAAAGTATTTAATGATATTGAACAAATCCACAAGGCCGTGATGAGGGTTCAAACCTATGCACGGGATGTTGCCAGAAGCACTTTAGTCAACTGTACCACGACATGGTTAAAAGAATTGCAACCTGGAGTACCACTGCCTTCACTACGATCCTGAAGCTACTCCGAAGCCCAATTGGGGTTTCACACAATTTTCCCGTGCACCCGGGCTCTGTCAACCAAATGTTCTATCTCTATGCCCTTACTTCAATACACACAACCCCCAAACATACCAGCGATACAAAGATGCAAGAAACAACTATACAGCAGTAAGGAGAGAGGCAGAAAGAAATTTTGAAAAAGGGATTGCAGACAAATGTAAAACAGAACCGGGCCTATTCTACAAATTCATAAACAACACATTGCAGGTAAAGGATAATATCCAGAGGTTGAAAATGGGAAACAGATTCACGGAAAATGAAAAGGAAATGTGTGAAACATTAAATGAAAAGTTCCAAAGTGTGTTTGTACAAAATGAAATCTTCAGAGAACCAGAC